GAACTGGTGAATGGAGAGCAGAGTAGCAAGTGCGTTAAATGGAGAGCAGTGCGCCACGAGCACATCTCTGCACCCAGATTTGTTACAAAAACACTTTATGAGTGCAAAGCTTTAAAGGCTGAAGGTACAGCAGATAGTAATTGACTAAGCACATAAGAATCATAAGGTTACTTTCAAAGGCAACTACAATAATCACTAATTACTAAGATTTTCCAAACTGCCACCACTCCAGATGCAGACGCAAACCTTGGTGTTGGTGCAAACAAATATATCATTATAAACACTGATCCAGAGGGTAGCAAAGCACCCATCATTAAAAATTCATACAGTACATGAAAAACAAATTTAGAACCATCAATTAAAAAGAAAGGAGTTACAGTAATTAGGATGGAATGAACGAATAAACACTAAAACCATGCACAAAAGTGAAACGTTCAAAATATTTTAACATGATAATGGTCCATGAAGGATTAAAAAGCTGTCTATTTTTGTCAACTTTATCAATGCATGGGGTTAGTGTTTACATCAGTGTGGAGTTACACTAGTGTTTTGATGTTTTGGACTTCTGATGCTTCAATACCTCTAGAAAGATTCACAAACTTTCAAGGGGTGGTCACTGTGCTTGGGAGGAGGAGGGGGGGGGGGGGACCATTTGGCAGCATTAACAGGGGGAAACAAACGATAATGACTTGGGAAAAGCTTAATTGCTCAAAAAAATTGTCAGAAGCTTTGCGTGTAGTGGATTTTTACAGCTTCAGCCAACAACATGCAAGGCACTGTTACAGGGTCAGGATTTAGAATGAAAAGTGACCTGTGGCCAACACACACATGAATATGGAGCAGATACAGTAGACATTAAAAACAGGAAAGTAAACTGGCCAAAATCAATAATAGCCATAACATAAAATTTCCCGTTTGCATTATGAATGCAAATAAGTCAATTATTTATATATAATTGCTCTAGAAGAGTACTGAATAAAACTTACTAAGTAAAAAGCTCACTTACCAGAAACAATACTTGTATAAGAATTTAGATTAATCCAATTTAAAAAAAAATAAAAAAAAAAATAATAGGCGTGTTTGCTAAGTCACTATTTGCTGATTTTTATTTTTCCTAGCAAAGTTAATAGGTCATTTTTTTTTAAGGCACGTGGGACCATTTTTCTTACTGAACCAGTATTTTAGTCTAGCCGAATGTAAAGTATTAATTATCTAATGATAGTTAATTAAATTAATAATTTTGTTCATAGTACACTACAAACTTGCTAGACACTGCAATAACAAAAATTAATTATACTGTAATTCAGTTTTGTATATTAAAGCAACTTATCAGTTTTAACAATAAGACAGTTTGTGTTCCCCAAACTATATATTTGGAAGCAATACATATTTCCTATACTGGATGTTATCTTGAATTTGTCGTGCTCACCCAGGATTCATGTAGTGATTAATAGTTGACACTGCTAATGTGTTAATAGTTATAATTGCCATCATATGCCAACTGATTATTCTCAATTCATCCCATAACACTTACATCTTCAATTATACAAGATTAATTCCTCAAGAGATAAATGTCAGACATTAATACTGTAATATATTAGTGTCCATTAATGCTCTTTTGAATGACCTACAGCATACAATTCATGTCTAAAGACTACAGCATGCATGCATACTCATGAAAACATATTTCTGCACACAAATGCACATAACCACACACATAGGTAAGGATACACAGACACACACGTGCGCGCGTGTCGTGAATGAATGGAAAAAACTTACGCAAGACAATGTTCAAGCAGAAACATGATACTTCAAAAGCAGATGATAAAATCATAAGATTGTGGTTATGGATGAACAAGGGGACCCATTAGCAAAATTTAAGACACACACACCTACATACCACTCAATCACAACTGCAGACTAATATACATACAGTACAACCATAGTTAGGAAAGCAAAGCTACAAAAAAGATTTATAACAATTAGGTAAGTTCACACAAAAACAAAAGAGCAACCATATACAGTATAACTACAGGCACAAACAAAACCATAGAATGCATATCTCTGTGTACACACAAGACCACATACTGTGTAGCTAAACTTCACTCACGCATAGCGCACACAAAGCAAACTACGTCATGCGATGCTTTGCAACCATCAGTAGCTTCAAAGTATCATATGGCAAAGTACTGGGAAGAGGGGACACTACAAGTGTAGCTCTTATCCTGTAACTATCCTTAGGTAATTACACACACACACAATCACAAATGCATATGCACACATCCACGCGCACACTTTCGAGCTCTCACACTCTTGCATTCACAAACATTTTAGTGTGCACGTGCATACACACACACTAAATGAGACAAACACACTCACCTACTCCACCACACACACTCACCGTTGAGAGAGAAGTGTGTCAGTGAGCATCCTCAAATAATTATAAATTATCTTAGGACATTTAAGCATTATAGGGAGTAAGCACAGTACTTGGTACCATCATGTGTACAGCAATGCAGTGATCAATATATATCAAAGTGACATCATATAATTTCATGATCAGAGAAAAAAAAATAAAGTTTGAGTGGCAACACAGGTGCCATATGTTGCCTGGAAGCAGGGTTTGGGAGCACCATGTCTGAAAGATGCCTAGTTGTGCCTGATGAGAGGGAGGCCGGCTGGTAAGTGTCGTTTTAAACTCCTTCACATTGTGTACAGAGTTTCCATATTATCATACCATAGCTACTTCTTAGTACTTAATTACAAAATAGCATAGCTAAACTTCATTAGCAGCACGAGGCAAGATTCATACAGTGCCCAACTTAGGTAACGATACTCGCATGGACACGCACACACTCATGGAGACACGCACACACATAGACACACACACATGCCAAAAAAGTTCAGAAGTTTGAAACGAAGGCTTGGCCTGGAATTGTGAGGGATGAGGTGTGGAGGAACTGAAGGAACTAAATCTGACGACACTAGAAAAGAGAATGGGGGGAGGGGAGTGCACACACACACACTCTGAGAAAACAAAAGAGAATGGGGGGGGAGGGGCATGCACACACACACACACTCTCAGAAGACAGAAGAGTAAGGGGAGACATGATCACTACCTACAAAATTCTCAGAGGAATTGACAGGGTGGATAAGGATAACTGTTTAACACGGGTGGTACACGAACAAGGGGACACAGGTGGAGACTGAGTACTCAAATGAGTCACAGGGACATTAGAAAGAACTTTTTCAGTGTCAGAGTAGTTAACAGGTGGAATGCATTAGGCAGTGATGTGGTGGAGGCTGACCTCATACACAGTTTCAAATGTAGATATAACAGAGCCCAATAGGTTCAGGAACCTGTACACCAGTTGACAGTTGAGAGGCGGGACCAAAGAGCCAGAGCTCAACCCCCACAAGCACAACTAGGTGAGTGTACACACACATTGGTATCGCCCTGATGGGACACACATAAGAAGCAGTACTGGAGTTTTAATTACACACACACTGACAAACACACTTGCACAGGCACACTTCTTGTAACTTACACAGGCATCCTGTAACTACACTTAGGTAATTACACTTACACACATATACTAGCACAGGCACACTTATACACACACACTAGGTGAGAACACACTTTCTCTCACACACTCATACAGACACATACTCTCACAAACACACTCTTTCTCACACACACACACACACACAATGACAAGGTGGTGGAGGCCAAAACTGTCAGTAGTTTCAAAGCGTTACGTGACAGTGCTGGGAAGATGAGACACCAAGAGCTTGGCTCTCATCCTGTAACTACATTTAGGTAATTACACACAGACACATGGATGTGCAGACACACAGACATGCAATCTCGTGAGCGTTATCTTGAGGTTACTTTGAGGTGATTTTGGGGCTCAGCGACCCCGTGGCCCGATCGTCGACCAGGCCTCCTCGTTGCTGGACTGGTCAACCAGGCTGTTGGACGCGGCTGCTCGCAGCCTGATGTACGAGTCACAGCCTGGTTGATCAGGTATCCTGATCAGAGCGTGCACACAATCTCACATTGACACAAACAAACACAGGTACATCCTGTAACTACACATAGGTAATTACACACCCTCACACTCCAGACATGGAGTGAACGATACGGAAGAAAATGCAGAATAGAACCAGTGAAGAGCAGGGGTGCCATAGGCACAATCAGAGGACATTGTATAAACATCAGAGGTCCGCGGTTGTTCAACGTCCTCCCAGCAAGCAGAAGAAATATTGCCAGAACAACCGAGGACATCTTCATGAGGAAACCAGATAGTTATCTTCAAAGAGTGCCGGACCAACCGGGCTGTGGTGGGTATGTGGGCCTGCGGGCCGCTCCAAGCAACAACCTGGTGGACCAAATTCTCACAAGTTAAGCCTGGCCTCGGGCCGGACTTAGGGGGAGTAGAAAAAACTCCCAGAACCCCATCAACCAGGTATCAAGCATGCACACACACATTCTCGCACATACACAACACAAACAATCTCGCACAGACAGAAACATACTCTCACACAGACACAAACACTCGCACAGACATACAAAACACTCAAGAGGCACAAACAAACTTTTATTCAGCCACAAACAAACACTCTTGCACAGGCACAAACACTCTCACAGGTACAAACACTCGCACAGGTACAAACACTCGCACAGGCTCAAACACCCTCTCACAGGCAGAAACACACTCGCACAGGCTCAAACACACTCGCACAGGCTCAAACACTTTCGCCCAGGCTCAAACACACTCGCACAGACTCAAACACACTCACAGGCTCAAAAACACTCGCACAGGCTCAAACACACTCGCACAGGCTCAAAACTCTCGCACAGGCTCAAACACTCTTGCACAGGCTCAATCACTCTTGCACAGGCTCAAACACACTCGCACAGGCTCAAACACTCTTGCACAGGCTCAAACACTCACACAGGCACAAACAAACACTCTCGCTCAGGCACAAACAAACACTTGCACATACACAAACAAACTCTCGCACAAGTACAAACAATCTTGCACAGGCACAAACACTCTCGCTCAGGCACAAACACTTGCACATGCACAAACAAACACTCTCGCTCAGGCACAAACACTCAGGCACAAACACTTGCACATGCACAAACACTCGCTCAGGCACAAACACTTGCACATGCACAAACAAACTCTCGCACAAGCACAAACAATCTTGCACAGGCACAAACACTCTAGCACTGGCACAAACACACTCGCTCAGGCACAAACCCACTCGCACAGGCACAAACGCTCGCACAGGCACAAACGCTCGCACAGGCACAAACGCTCGCACAGGCACAAACGCTCGCACAGGCACAAACACTCGCACAGGCACAAACACTCGCACAGACACAAACACTCGCACAGGCACAAACACTCGCACAGGCACAAACACTCGCACAGACACAAACACTTGCACAGGCACAAACACTCGCACAGGCACAAACACTCGCACAGGCACAAACACTCGCACAGGCACAAACACTCGCACAGGCACAAACACTCGCACAGACACAAACACTCGCTCAGACACAAATACTTGCACAGACACAAACACTCGCACAGACACAAACACTCGCACAGGCACAAACACTCGCACAGGCACAAACACTCGCACAGGCACAAACACTCGCACAGGCACAAACACTCGCACAGACACAAACACTCGCACAGGCACAAACACTCGCACAGACACAAACACTCGCACAGGCACAAACACTCGCACAGACACAAACACTCGCACAGGCACAAACACTCGCACAGGCACAAACACTCGCACAGGCACAAACACTTGCACAGGCACAAACACTCGCTCAGACACAAATACTTGCACAGACACAAACACTCGCACAGACACAAACACTTGCACAGGCACAAACACTTGCACAGGCACAAACGCTCGCACAGGCACAAACGCTCGCACAGGCACAAACGCTCGCACAGGCACAAACGCTCGCACAGGCACAAACGCTCGCACAGGCACAAACGCTCGCACAGGCACAAACACTCGCACAGGCACAAACACTTGCACAAACACTTGCACAGGCACAAACACTCGCACAGACACAAACACTCGCACAGGCACAAACACTCGCACAGACACAAACACTCGCACAAACACATGCACAGACATAAACACTCGCACAGGCACAAACACTTGCACAGGCACAAACACTCGCTCAGACACAAACACTCGCACAGGCACAAATAATAATGGAATAAATGGAATGCATTGGGCAGTGATGTGGTGGAGGCTGACTCCATACACAGTTTCAAGTGTAGATATGATAGAGCCCAGTAGGCTCAGGAACCTGTACACCAGTTGATTGACAGTTGAGAGGCGGGACCAAAGAGCCAGAGCTCAACCCCCGCAAGCACGATTAGGCGAGTATAAACACTCGCACAGGCACAAACACTCGCACAGGCACAAACAAACACTCACGCAGGCACAAACAAACACTCACGCAGGCACAAACAAACACTCGCACAGACACGAACACACTCGCACAGACACGAACACACTCATACAGGCACAAACAAACACTCGTACAGGCGCAAACAAACACTCGTACAGGCGCAAACACTTGCACAGGCACAAACACTCGCACAGGCACAAACACTCGCACAGGCACAAACACTCGAGGCACAAAAACACACTCGCTCAGGCACAAAAACACACACTCCCTGAGGCACAAAAACACACTCGCTCAGGCACAAACACACACACACAGGCACAAATACTCTCGCAAAGACACAGACTCTCGTACAGCTCTCATCCTGTAACTACACTTAGGTAATTACAAACACTCACACAGGCGCGCACACACTCACACAGGCACAAACACACACACAGGCACAAACACACACTCACAGACACAGACACCAACACTCACACACACAATCACACTCTCACACACACACACGTGTATAAATACATGTGTTCATACACATGCACACACACACTCGCAAGCCATTCTTACTTTTAACAACAACTTTTGCTGTACATTATATTGTAAACACAGTATTTGCAAGTCAACTATTCACTAATGAGCCACAATGTTGAGAGACTTGTACCAAGTGTGACATTACGTGCATCAGTTGGGTAGTAGGAAGCTAAGTACCAACACCAATTTAAACACTATTCTCCTATAGTATTTTCTGCAGTAAAACTGCATTGTTTTTGAATAATATTTGTGCTCTCTAAAATAAAAAAAATTTAATACATTCCTTAAATTATCCAAGAGTACAACTACAACAATTACAGTTTCCTATGCAAATAAAACCAATCACTGCAAAACAAGATCCATTAAGCAATCTTTCAAATGCTCTACTCCTAATTATTTCTCACTACCAACCTTTAAGCATTAATGAAATAATATTTTTGTGTATTAGTGACAATGTCACACCCATCTCCATGGCATCAAGACAAGACACAGCACTGTTTGACATGGAGCCCAAATGTGTGTGGAGGCTCACTGGGAGCTACAAAGTACCCAATATCGTCATACTCAAGCTCAATGAAGATTGGAAGATTACCAGAGGCAGAAAGTAAATAGCTACAGTACCAATATTAGAGAATACATGAAAAGAATTATTTGTATAAAAACTTAATAAAGTGAACTTAGGCAAAACAATTTCAAAACACACAATTTCCCAGTCTTGCCAAAAAAAGGTAATGATTATCCAATGAGCAAAACATGTTAATATAGTTAGTCTAATTATGTGACTCTAAGCAGAAGAAAAAGTTGAAATCCCATGTAACATCTCCCATACTTGCCAATGAAGGAGCGAGTCAACCCAAACAAAAGCTTAGAAAGTGACAAAACACTTATAATTCTAATTTAAACAGTAAAATAAGCCAAATCATGTTTACCGTTTCCAAATTTTGCCAGTGTAAATGTTAGCATGTGTATATGAACTGTTACACATGATTATCGGAAATCCACACACTTGCTGATCATAATTATTATGGATAGTGCCTGAATTATTATCTAAATGTAAATACTAATAAATTAAAAGCTGCACGCAAACTAGTCTGGGATAGCTTGAGGTTATCTTGAGATGATTTCGGGGCTTAGAGTACCCGCGGCCCGGTCCTCAACCAGGCCTCCTTTTTGTTACACACCCTCAGGAAGCAACCCGTAGCAGCTGTCTAACTCCCAGGTATCTATTTACTACTAGGTAACAGGGGCATCAGGGTGAAAGAAACTCTGCCCATTTGTCTCCGCCTCCACCGGGGATCAAACCCGGAACCTCAGGACTACAAATCCGAAGCGCTGTCCACTCGGCTGTCAGGCCCCCGTCTGCACTGGCATGTATACCAGCTTGCACTGATGACCCATAAAAGCAAGTCCTTATGGCTTAAACTATTAACAGCTCAGTGCCACTATATTCTTTTCCCATCTTCCAAAGTTTCACATCATTTTCATCAAAGCGGTTCCCCCCCCCCCATTTTTATCATATACGAGGTTCCAAATCTTCATGTAATTTCCACTCTCTACTTTCCCATTTGTAGATACTGAACTTTGATAGCAATACCAACTCTTATGATAACTTGCCATTTCTCAGTGCCAGCAAGTGCCCATTGCATCCCAATTTACTAAAACTGAACCAGCCTGGATATTTATCAGCAAAAATGTTCAGAGAAGGCTTCTCATGCACTAAACCACTCCCCCCCCCCAAGGGCAGCAAAGCTGATGGAGACAACAACACATCAAAGATGGACAGTATGCACATATAGAGAAACTATTTAATGTGGCGCACACAACACTATTTATACCATAAATTGTGTATACATTTCTTTGCTTGCAATGTATAAAAAAAAATGTAACTTTTGTTATTACGAAAATTATATGCAACTGCCCAATTAGGATGCAAAATGCCAACCAGTCTACCTGGTTCAAGATGCATATTGCCCACGTATAACTTCCATTATCCGCCTGCTCAGTATAACTGGCTAAACTAACTAAACTATGTAAGCAATCTAAAATAATAAGCACAATTGGACACTGACATTAATATGACTAAAAACCTTAATAAAATTATAAAGGTTTCATTAATTTGAATCCTATAAAAGTGTGGTATTTGAAATGTTTATTTCACTACCAAGAGTGAGTGTTAATGCCAGTAAACTAAGTGTAATACCCACTCAAGCTTCCCATGACCATCTTACTGTACCTGTTTCCATACTTTACTCAAGCCCAAAACATCATTTTTCTCACTTGACTATAAACAATTATTTTTAACATTACGATAGTTATTCATACGTATAATATTGACTATAACATTTTTCTACAGTGTTGTCAGCAATTTAATCAACAATATATTATAGAAATTCTGCAGACTAATGTGGCTACTTTGTTTTCTTGCAATTCTCAAATAATTCACTTTCACTCTGATGAGGAAAGGGGTTTCAGTATAATCAATAGAACATTACAATACAATGTTCAGTAGTTGATCACCCACGTGCCTTGTAGTGTTTTCTGCTGATGAGCACTGTGCAGCAAGAAATTAAAATAAATATAAACTATTGAACAACGAAGCCTAGCCCATAAAAATACTTAAAAACCCGGGAAATGTTGCAAACACGAATAATTTAAGCTATTCTGGAATAACGTGAGAGCATTTACAAGAACTGGACATTACAAGCACATATTAAATTGGAAATTACGAGCATTTATGGACGATGATGTCTTTTTACCCGAGGATACGTGTGCACGAAACCTTTAGATAATATGCCATTATGAACAGCCAACAACCTGGACTACTCCAGGGAGTGTCACTCAACATGTTTATTCGAGTTAATAGTTATCAGAAGTTTTCTCTTCAAACTCATATAATTGACACTTATTTGTTTTGTCTACTAGAAGCTAGACACAAAAATATGTTTCCCCCTGAACAAGTAAGAAGTCAAACACAACTACCAAGTAGTAGTAGTAGTGGGCCGTCAAACAGTATAGGTACCAGTCATTTTATATAGTTTGGTACATGGTGTAAAGGATTCTCTAGTACATGGACTGATTAACCCAAGCAAACTCCCTCATTCGTGCCCCTCTTACAATTACCCAGCTTCATGACACAGCGACCTTCACTAAGCAACACCACATGTAATGTTACATTTTCATAAAGATACTTTAAGTTTTCATTGTATTATGTACCAATTGCCCCAATCATTAGCACTTTATTGTTTACAAAATTACTAGAACAATGAAACCTTTATTAATTCATGCAAAAATGTACCAATAATAAAAAGCATGTGACAAATAAATTAAACTTTCCTCGTATATAAATAGCACTTCAGTAACTCAGTCATTAAACATTACAATCCCATAAAATGTTACTTCTTTAAATGTAAATTTAAAAAAATTACTTTTCTGCAATATAACATTCAACCTATTTTGCAATATAATCATAAGTCTCCTTTCCTACTCAGCATTAGTTGCAGGTAATCATAGGTGAAACTTGAAATGTTTACATCATCCCAGTATACCCTATTTTTGCAATATGACTATTAGTCACATACTAAAATTCACATGGATCAATTAAAGAGTAACAACATACGCTTATCAAACCTGAAGGTGTTACCTCAGTATTTTCTTTTTTTTTTTTGTAAAACAAAATTAAACAAGAACAAAAGAATACTGGAAAACTATGGTAGAAGATCAATTAGTTGAACAAGTTCAAATGTTTCCGAAACAAAATTTAAAAGTGTGGTTTTAAGGAGGAAAATCTTTGTTGCATGCATTATGAAAATATTAAATCGTATTTTCTCAGACGGTTACAGAAAGTTGAGAACATCGGCTGGAAAGAACAACCCCATTCTAGCGGCCGTAGATTTACTGTTTTAATACAATCAACAAAAAATTATTGTTCGCATCAGATAAGTGTAAAGCCACGAGCAGGAAAATGAGTAAATGAAAGAAATATACAATTGTGTAAATAACTGACAGTAACACCCTTCTCAACAACTGATGCCTTCACTAGTAATCACTCATGGAATACACATCTTGGAATATGCAGTTTTGTATACACACAAATCTATTCCATAAGTGCAGTTTTTCAACTGCAGGAATACATGTTAAAAGTAACATCCATTCTTCTTTGCATTTCACTACAGTAATACATTCACATTGTTATGCGAACACTAATGTACTGTACACCTAACCTTGTGTTAATTCTATCATCTTAAAAGTTTAGTGGTGCAGTTGGAAGTGGAGCTAAGTTAAATACACATATGCATCAATCAAGAGTTGCTGCAGGTGAATCGAGTATTTACAGAGCCAAATATCTTCAATATACATGCGTTAAATAATAACATTTATAGTCCCATTTAAAATGAAGTACAAAGGCAAAGAAAACCAAATAGCTTACAAAGAACACTTAACATTTTACACCCTTAATCTTAATTGTTTGAATTTTTCTCTTAATTTTTAATACTAAGCCTACTATTTTTTTAATGCAATAACGTTTGCATTACTGAAAAATCTACCTTGGTCCAAAAAAGCCTCGACCTTGATAACCTTGTGCAAGAAATCCTTGATAAAGTAAGCTCTGGGCTGATCGGATCCAGCCAAGATAATCTTGCCCAGAGTAATTTATCCCAGTTTGTACCTGCCGGAAAGTGGCTTGTCTGTTAATTCCATGACCAATGCCTACCCTGCCACTATCACCAAGGTTTGGCACATTTTGGACAATACTCCCATGCCTGACAGCTAATGCATTATCTCTGATTAAGCCAGCATTGCTTGTCATGCCTTTTCCGCCAATTGCGTTTCGATCATTACTTGTGCCACGAGCAGCATTTGCATTGATGTTGCCTATCCCAGATGCAATACTTTGGTTGGTTGTACTATTGCTGGCTCCACCTCGGCTAGCTGCACCTTGACTAGTACCACCTTGGCCTGCTTTACCATGACTAGTGCCAACCTGGCCAGCTTTGTTGCGAGTAGTATCACTTTTGCCTACTGCATCACGGCTAGTAACGTCTTGGCCAGCTGCACCACTGTTTGTACCACTTTGGCTGGCTGCACCTTGACTAACATTGCCTTGAGTTGATGCACCTTGGCCAGTTTTATCTTTAGTACTACCTTGGTCGACTTTACCAACAGTATTACCTTGGCCAGTTTTCCCATTAGTACTATCTTTCCCAGCTTTATCATTAGTACTACCTTCATTAGCTTTACCCTTAGCACTAGCTTGGCTAGGTTTACTACTAGTACCACCTTTTCCAGCTTCAGTCTTAGTACCACCTTGGCCAGCTACATTGTGACCAGCACTATCTTTACCAGCCTCACTGTGATTATCGCTACCCTTTTTGCCTGAAGTCTTACTTGGTGCAAATTGACCAGTACCGCTGCCTTGGCTGCCCGTACCCTGTTTAGTTTTACCACTGTCGGCCACAGGCTGGCCAACTGCTGCTTTAGAGGCAACATTTTTACCAGATACGTTCTGGCCACTTGCACCTACAGTATTATCACCCTTCTTAACATGCTGTTTACCAGCATCACAAGAATTAACACGTGGCAGGACTGCAGTAATGGACTGAGAGGTTTGGCCGCTGGTACTTACGTCTGATAAGCGGCCAGCATCTTTGTCACATACCTTGAGGAAGGTCTCCCTCTCCTCCTCTACTGCTTCCTCTCCCTCAACTTTCTTGTTTTCATTTGCTGGTGTTGTATCCATCATATCTTCCATCTCCACCTAGAAGATAATCAACAAAACACAATCAGTTAAAGTCACTACACCATTTGCAGTATGAAATTTTTATTAATAATTCTAAGCTCACCTTTGACTCCCGTACATCACACAGAATTCCTTAAAAATAAACTAATATCTATGGTTATATAAAATGTTCACAGCACCAGCATTCTTCCAACTCTCACCAGCATCAAATATCCACAACGAACAAACACCTCTCCCCTATTAGAATTAGCCATGGAACAAAGGGCACCAATACATCTTGGGAAAATTCAAAGCATCCCAGTAGAGATGAGTAGTATTAAAGTTATATACACAAATGTAAATGGAATTACAAATAAATGGAGGTAGAGTTGCAGGAAAGGATGAAACAAGTGCAACCACATATTACTGCAAAATAGAAATGAAACTGTCAAAGTGCTTAGAAAAGATAGGGTAAATAGTTGTGGAGATAGTGTAGCCCTACTGCTACAACTACACTCGAAAATTAGAATGTATAAAAAATAACCATAAAGGAAAATTAAATAAATTAATCAATCCTCTGCTCAAGCCGAGATAAGATAAATGTCAAGATGTGGTGATGGGAGAACATGCACCAGTGAAGATAATAATTATTGTGTGGCAGGTTTATTGGCAAAAGAAAGGTTTTGAGAAGGTCTTTCAGTAACTCAAACAGTAAAGGCACATGGACTGAGCCCTCACCACCCCTATGAGAACTTAATAAACATAAAAGCAGTGTTCAAAGTGCTAATAAGGATTTTCACTACAAAACATAACAAACAGCTTATATCAGACTAGTACAAGTGTTTGAATAAGCAGCACCAGCAGGTAATCCACATCTTGTGAAGGAATAAAAGAAAATTATTTATAAGTTGCAATCTACCCAATTTAGTTTTCATAACTTTATATCTATCTTCTTTACTTTTCATTACTTTACTTGTAAACCTAACACATTCTAAAGCCATACGCTGCCTCAGTTGTACAGTTCACCATGGGCAAATGAACTTTTTTCTAGTTCTTTACTAAATTCTTTACTAAAAATGACATCAGTAATACAGATTTACAATTTACAGGATCTTGTCTGTATCCTTTTCTGGATGATGGTAACATGCTCACATGCGTCTAGATTGCTAGGAATGTGCCATTTGATATTAGTATGCAAGAATTCCTAATTAATGAGCTTTACACTGCAGTATCCCTGTTGCCTCCATCGTTTGCTACTGTGATAACTGGTCTGGTTCTACTAGTGCTTGTCTATCAGTGTGTACAAGAAGCACAATGGAGTGCTTTAGACCCCACCTCCTAGATGTACCATGTGCATTTTAAAACTCTTGGAATACAATTTATCATTTACATATTAAATGACAAAATCTTATCAGCATAATTATTACTTGTTGAGATTATTAACACGGCCAGACAAACAGCACTATACAATGTGCAATGTGCAATACAATCCTCTTGGTACCAATATCCAGGTAGTGTGATGTATCATTAATTTGGAACAATTTTCCCTGCATATTATGGAATATATATATCCTCCCCCTTTGTTTCACTATGAGGCAAACATGTTCTTCAGATGAAGATAAAAAAATCATAAAATAAATAATATTAATCCTGTGAAAACCATAGTGTAACGAATATACTGTATAACAAAATGATGCAGATTCAGAAAGATGGGACTATAGGTGACAAAAGTATACAACATGAACACAACCAGTAACATCAAGCAGAGAAAACAAAGGCACTTGTACCTCATCAATAGCAGCATCCTGGGCCAGTGGTGTCAGGTCCACTCTGGTATAGCTGGTGGGCGTACGCTCCCAAGCTTTCACAATGCGCTCTATGTGCTCCTTGGGGTGGTTGTGAGTATTACGGTGAAGACACACACTTTCATCTACTTCTAACTCTCCAATATACACCTGGGAAAAGAAAATGTATATTTCTACACAAAATCAAATCAAATATGCACTGTAATGAAGCAGAGTTAAATATCTAATGACTATATTCATCATTTCAAGTGGCTACAAACTTACATGTCATAAAATCTTGTATTCAAGCAAGATGTGTTTAGTTTGTAGTATATTAAGAAGGGTGTCTTTCAGGACATACAAACCCAGTGTTGAAAGTAATGAAACACCTCTTTCTGGTAGAGCCCCTGTTGGTCCCTGAAGCTATCATACTGGGATTACTCCAAGCTAAAAGGTCACACCAGTTGCAGTAGCAGCTGTTTGACCTACCAGGGACCAGAGTCAGTACTCCCCCCCCACCCCCTCACAGACGTGCAGGAAGCAAGTGACAATTCACCACCCTACTTCATACATTATGTATGTAATTGAATGCAAAAGTACTTAGATAGGAAAAATTATAAACAAATTCTGAACGTTTTCGTGTTTGTACACATTATCAACAAATACTGTACCTGGATTCCTCGATAATGTGTTAAAACATGAAAACTTTCAGAAGTTTTGTTTAATTTTTCCTACATGGATACTTATGCATAACGAAATCACATTTTTGTGATTATTCTTGAATAAATATGTATGTATGCATGCATGCATGATACTGTACCAAAAATGCTCCACACCAATGGAAGAAGAAGAAGAGTTCTGAAGAATTTTACTTCACATACCTCAAAACTTTGCTTTTTAGCATAGGTGACCATCTCGGTAAAATGATTCACTTTGTTATTGACACAATCCACAATGATGAATGGGAAGAAGCCATCATCAACCTGCTTCTTGAATGACTTCACAAGAGATGCACGATAACTGTCTTCCAGTTCAGCTTCATACTCGTACTCCATAATCTACAGAAAGTCAACATTATCATGAATTATCCTAGAACACGGGAATAAATGAAAATGCAGAAGCCCTACTGACCAATGCAAAGCAGCACCTGTTTATTCCTAGCCAAACTCATTCACATGTACCTGGATGGGGTTCTGAGCATTGTTCTACTCCCCAAGCCCAGCCTGAGACTTCACTTGCATGTGTAAGTATCACCAAGCAAATATTCAAAGATGGCCCCAATCTGGGAAGAGTATATAGAAACTTTACTTAAAAGCAATTCAGCAATACCACATTCATAATGTTAATTGGTAATTTGTTCAATAAATCGACAGCCATCTTTCCAAACCATTAATTCCACAACTTAATTTTTACAATTTGTATACTGTACATTGTTTTCTGTTGATATGTTTAATACCAAATAATACCTCTGTTGTATTCTTTCATTCATTTATATTTTGATATCATTCATTACTCTATGCTCTTCTAGAGAATGTAAATTAGGCTTCCTTAACCCTTACACCGCGCACATTGTATATGAGTAACTGTCACCAAACTGCGCACATCATATATAATTGAGGGTGCCGCGCACCATTTAAATGTCCAGCGGCTACACTGGGTTCACATCAGCTTCCTCAGGGCTCTAGTAAACAGACACCATTTAAAAAAAATCATGGGTAACATTCCCGGCTGTGAGAGCCTCAGTACTGATTGAGCAAGCAAGACTGGTGCACACTACATGAGCTAACAGCACTGATGTTTAGCTGGTGACCACAGCATCGCCTAAAAATGTTAAAATGTATATGTAACTGCTATTATTTAGTGATGACAGCATTACGGAAGTCCCCTGACTGTGATACAAATTACCAGGATTCTGATAATAGCAGGATGGTGGTGATAATTTGGGCTGTGTGTAGTATAGTCAAGTGGTCAATAGCTGGACTGATAAAAAGTGCCAATTAAGGGGAACCGAGGCATTTACTTTTATAGTAAAACTAAGAAAATACTGTTAATAGAAGAAATATAATTACTGATATCAAAAGAAGAAGTACCGTTACAAAAAGCTAGGAACCTTGTATTGGACGAGAATATTTTCCCTCTGAACCAATCCAGGAATTTGTTATGAAGAAAATTTTTAGATGAAATAGAACATTTTCTTCAAGTGTAAATAAGTTGTTTCATAACCTTGCAATAAGAATGGTAATGATAATGGTACTTATAGACAACTTGTGAGAAGCGATGCTAGAGCCCACAATGAATTTTTTTCCTGAACTTTGCATTCCATTAAAAGAAAAAAATATCAGATTTGTTTGTGCAAATACTGTAATTCTTCAGTTTGAAAACAGTGAAGACAGGAAACAAACTGAAGGAAGGCCAGTTCAGAACAATCAAAATATAAAAGTTATAATAGTTGTGGGAAAGTGAGTAATACAAATACTGTACATTAAGGTTATAACAATATAATTTAGGTCTGTACCTTAGTCTTGACTCTCCTCCCAGTATCAGAGTCGAGGGTCATCTTCTCGGTCTCAACCATGAAATAATCATCAAGGCTGAGAATGCGTGGTGGGCTTCCTCCATTCTCCACTTCTCGATCCTACAAAATCAAATTTACAAGGAAAAAATTGGGCAATTTTTTTTTTAATTCAAAATAATGATACTGTATTTTGCAAGACTAGTACCAGCAGATAAGATAAATGATTGTGTATGTACATACAAACTATATACCTAAGTGTGCATGTATGTGTATGTATACACACACACACACACAAAATGGCAAACCTGTCAGTGCCTGGGATAGTCTCTCTCTTCAACCTTTATTCCACCCTTCTTTTTTCCCCTATTCCACCCATCTTCATTTCATCTTTCCACCTATCTTCCCTTTCCCTCCTCTCCTGCTCCTCTCTTTCCTCTCATCTCCCCCATTTTCCCCTTCTCCCTACCTTATCTTCCTCCATCCTCAAACACACACACACTTCCATTATAAACTGTAAATAGAAGAGGCACACAGTTGCACCTAGGTCTCTTCCCCACCTTTTTCCACATCCACCAATCCCACATACCTTAATCATCTTTGCCATGGTAGTCTTGCCAGAACCAGGAGGCCCACGTAGGATAATTGCAATTTTTGGAGGGCGCATAAAACGTCCAGGTGTAGACACAAGGTCATCAATGGTGACAACCTCTCCAGGTACCTCTGGCTCTGCAGGTACTGCTTGTGGTGGAGGTTCAGGTGTTCCATTGGAAGGGCCTGACACCATTCCCAATCTGAAGTGGAAGTATACACTGAATAACGATATATTTGCACTTGCTGGTTAACCAGTCCTTTAGGTATATTTTTAATAATATCCTCAGTACATTTGCACACGGGAAATGGAATTGTAGAGGAACAAGTTACATGACCAGGGCAGGAAGAGGATTAACTGGGCACAGCAAAATAGTCGGCCTAATCACACTGGCAAGGAAAGACACCTGAGGATTGTGTGTGAGTGACTAGACCAACATTCACAAATGCCACCCTCCAGAAAGGGACCCCTCCCCCTTTCCAGGAAAATCTAAACAGCCCAGTAGAAACAAGTAATATAAAAATTTGGTACACAAATGAAGGTGGCATAACAAATAAAGGGAAAGAGCAGCAAGACCAGGTAGCAGAGCTGCATCCTCATATCACAGTCAAGAGACAAAACTGATGAACATAAGAGAGGATGCAATATTCCGACAAGGATACCAGGGAGTAAGAAAAGTAAGGACAAATAGGATAGGAGGAGGAGTAACCCCACTTATACAACAACAATGGAGCTTTGAGGAGATAGATTACAGAAGAAAACAAGCAGGATTTCATGCTAGATCAATACAGGAAACCTGTATTTACCTTCACAATAAGGAGACGGCAATTACATAAATGAAAAAAGTAGTTAGGAATGCCAGGAAATTGCAAAAGAATGAGGATGGGAAACTATGGTCATTAAGAGGAGATATTTCAAAGGAAGATAGAGAAACTTGAACTTGAGGAAGCATGATGTTTAACACTTTCGCGCTTAGAGAGTAGAAATAATGAAATAATTTTGCTCACAAAGTGATAGGAATAAAGAAGAACAAAAAGAATAAGAATAACAAAAAGAATAAGAATAACAAAAAGAATAAGAATAACGAAAGGAAAAAAGAATAACTAAAGGGACGAGAATTAATATTTGACAACCCATGAGAAATCGACATAATGGCTCTAAAGATACATTCTTTATGATAAACTGATAATTATCATTGCTTGTAGTGCACCAGCAAGCAACATATGGACGAAGGAAGAGCGACATGACAAAAAGAGAGGTTCTTAAAATAATCATGCGAGATATTATAATAAGAGCAGATATAGATAAATCCTCATTGTTGATACTGTACTTGGAGACTGCAATTATAAATCAATAGACTGAGAACTTATGAAGACAAAGGACATTTGGACGGGCAGATTCATAAACCTCATCTTGCAGAATTTCACGTTAAATGAGAAGGCGGTGGATGGCAAAACTGTCGGTAGATTCAAAGTGTCAGATGACAATGAGTACTGAGAAAGCAGCACACCTTGAGCATACCTCTCATCTTGTAACTACACTAAACCTCACTTCCCCAGAGATATTGATACACATGCATGTTTCAAGCCAGTATGTCAGGAATTCTTCAGAAAAAATAAACAAAATTAAAACCACAGGGGGTATCCCTTCTGATGTGGCATATGATGGCATAGATAAATGATACCGCACCTAGAAGCTGCTGCTGATCGCAAAGGTGATCGGTCTCGTTCTTCATTTCCAGCATGTCTTGAAGCCCAGCTTGACCTGTTTTCAAATCCAGATGGTGGTCCACGATTGTCGTCTCGACCAATTCCACGGTTGTCATCACGGCCACTTGCACGATTGTCGTCACGGCCACTAGCACGATTGTCGTCACGACCACTTGCACGATTGTCGTCACGGCCACTTGCACGATTGTCGTCACGGCCACCTCTAATATTACGATCTCTACTTGGCTGGTCACGGCTGTCTGGTTCCTAAATTTAATCAAAGCAGTCATAACAAACTTGTGATGAGGTTGTAACCATGTATATTGATTGGAATATTTGACAAAAAATTATAAGAAACATTTGATTCAGAGAAGGAATGCAAGTTATTTTTTTAAGATTAGAACTCAAACTTTAAGATGGATTGAGTAGAAATTCTAAAACTCCAGCTCTAAACAAATTACCCTTCTTGATATATATATATATTATATACTGTATATACATACATACAAACTACAGTCTAAAACAAAAGCTATTATCCTGTTTAATAAAGATAGAAGGAATTATCTTTTCAAAAAGATAACCTTAATGATACAATAACATAAGAAAAGTTGTGATAGGAACCTGCATTTGCCAATCCATTCCAGAGCTCAACGGCCCACCCGTATTCGGCAACGGCTGCTTCATACCTATACAAAAAAAAATTTAAACTTTAGGATAGACTTGAAGGGATTAAGTGCTTCTGTGGATATTAATGAAGTGTACTGGTGCTTCTTTGCCCATAATGCAGTACATAATAGACTAGTAAATCAATCAATAAACCAATAACATATACAAGGACACACACGACTTTTGTTAGACCAAAGCTAGAATATGCAGTGGTTGTGTGGTGCCCATATCTTAAGTAGCACATCGACAAACTGGAAAAGGTGCAAAGACATGTTACTAAGTGGCTCCCAGAACTTAAAGGCAAGAGCTACGAGGAGAGGTTAGAGGCATTAAATATGCCAAAACTAGAAGACAAGAAAAAGAGGCGATATGATCACTCCGTTCAAAATAGTAACAGGAATTGAAAAAATCGATAGGGAAGATTTTCTGAGACCTGGAACTTCAAGAACAAGAGGTCATAGATTTAAACTAACTGAACAAAGATGCCGAAAAAATATAAGAAAATTCACTTTTGCAAACAGAGTGGTAGACGGTTGGAACAAGTTAGGTGATAAGATGGTGGAGGCAAAGACCTTCAGTAGTTTCAAAGCGTTATATGACAGAGTGCTGGGAAGACGGGACACCACGAGCGTAGCTCTCATCCAGTAACTACACTTAGGTAATCACACACACAAATGAACACGAGCACACACACACTGCCCAACGGCAATGATGATGACATGGTTTAGAAAAGTGCAGTATCATTGCATCATTATCTAGAGGATAGTGTTGGAGAGAGCTGAGTAAGTTGTGTCCCCAATACCATAAATACAGTATACCACGATCAACATAAGAAGATTGAATGACAACTATTGATAAAGATATACAAATCCAGGAAACTTTTGAGCAGAGCTACCAAACAGAAGCAGACAATAATTAAAGTAAACAAAAAAGAGCGTTGAATGTAATGAAACGCCATTTTCTGGGTGAGCCCTGGGAGGCTCCCTTGAGGTATCAGGCTTATGTGTTATATTAATCCGGGGCATCAGTCAATTAGAGTTCAGTATACCGCAGACCACGAGCCAGAACCTGGCCTCCTCAGAGAGGCAAAGGGAGCAATGGCCCATGGAAATCCTCATATATTTGGGGGTATTCCATGTCTGCCATTGACCAGGGTTAGCACCCAGAAAGGTAGGCATAACAAAACTGACCCCACATGGTAAAAAAATTGCAACCGAAGACCGAACAAAGAGGTAGAACTCTCCCTACTTAAAGAAACAAGCAACGTCACACTCCACTACCGAGCCGCATGTATGTGCAGCCCTCCCATCCTTGGGAGGTGGAGAGGGGAACCCCAGACCCCCTGCGATGGCTACTCAACAACTCCAGTTTGGAGGCTGAGCATTAAAACCCACAAAAAAAAAAAAAAAACAGCGTTGAATGTAATGAAACACCATTTTCTGGGTGAGAACCGGAGGCTCCCCGGAGCTTATCCAGGCTGATATGCTATTGTCAGACTTTGCCATCAGTCATGTGTATAAAGTTCTGTAGGACCACGAGCCAGAACCTGACCCTCTCGGAGAGGCATGGGGGAGCAATGGCCTATAGAAACCCCCGTGGTGTGTGGTTGGAAGCATTTTATGTCTGCCATCGACCGGGTCAGACACCCAGAAAGGTAAGCTTCCCAAAACAAACCTATTCTGGTGAAAATTGCTACAAAAAGCCGAACAAGTGGATAGAACTCCCCAAAAAAGAACGACAATACCAACACCTTTAGCAGGTTTCAGATACTCCTCAACATTTTGGAAGTGTTGAGCGATGTTATGTGTTAACGTCACACGTCGCCGTGCCGCTGACTATAATATCAACCATCGGGTGACACCCATCTTGTGGAAAGCATGTAAGCTCCCAAAACTTTCCGTGAAACCCTCCTACCCCGGGAGGGCTTAACGTCACACGTCGCCGTGCCGCTGTCTGCACAGCTCCCTCCTCCCCGGGAGGGAAAAGGGGGAGCTCCAGACCCCCACTACTCTCAATGGCTTTGTAGACCCCTGACACTCAGGAGGGGTGCCCAAAGTTTTTTTTTTAACATGATGACATCTGTTAACTGGAGCCCTGAGGAGGCAAATGCGGGTCCTGTGTACCGCATAGTTTGAAATCTCATGCTAGACCTAAAATCAACCCTGGTTAATGGATTTTTCACCACCACTGAAACAACCTTAGATGATACAAGCAGTTGAAGGGCTAATGTATGGGAAGGTTGTAGCAAAGAGTTAAAGAAATGGAATATGAACCATCCAGAAATGTCCAAACATGAGATGCAAAGAGAGCCAAATATGTTTTCTGGCAAACCAGTTGTCTTATTAAGGAACTAGTAAAAAGTCATACAATACAGTTCAATGTTATGCATACTATGAGTCACATTACCTGCACCACCTCCACCATGGCCATAGTCAACAATGGCTGGTTGATCAGCTGTTGGCAATTTATGGTCAAATGGTTCACGTCTGAGGGGATCTTCAGGTCCTCGGTTATATGGGTCCCTTCTATCTCTGTCAAGGCGCTCACGATCACGAGTATCCGTGCCATATTCTCTATCACGCCTGTCATATGCATTTCTTGAGTCATAAGGGTCTTGTAAGTAGGGGTCTCTATCATATGGATCCCTGCCAAAGGTGCTTTTATCAAAGCGATCCCTTGATGTTCTATCATAGCCATCATAATAGCGATCATCCCATCTGTACGATTCATCACCCCTTCTTGATTCATAGTAATCCCAACGTTGTCGGATGTATGCATCATCATCAAATCGATCCTCTGGACGTCTTCCAGGATACCGAGAATCATCTCGGCGATCATCCCAGAAATCACTTCTGCGGTCATCGGTGAAACGAGATTCCAACCCAAATCTTTCGCGTCTGCGATTATCCTCAAACCTAAAAAGAAATTAAGACATTTTAAACAATAATAATGTGCACAGCTGCTCATGCTTTATATTACATCATTAAGAATATTGCTGAATCAATTTACTGTGCATTTTTTAAGCATTTAAGATGCTATAGTATTAATTTGGAAGTTACTATATAAAAGAAGTACACAAAACAACAATAATGACATGGAAAAAAATAAAAATAAAATATCACCTTTGCATTTCTTCTGAAAAACATTCGGAGAAGCCATACACTGAAGAAGAGCGTCCCCTGTCTCCATCCCATGCTTCTCTATCTTGTGACAGTGGCTGTAACCAGCACATAATTATTAGTTTACAATATAATTACCATGACCAACATGACAATAAAACCTAACAACTGAATGCTTTTCATCCAATTTACCTTGGCACAGCAAGAGGCCAAGCCTTCCCAGCCAGCCAGCCCGAGGTGTGTACACAAGTGTTTCCCACGTACACCAGACCTGCACCAGTTGCGACAATTTTGACGACAGTTGAACATTGAGTTAAATAACTATCTTTTTGCAGGCGATGAGTCACAATAACGTGGCTAAAGTATGTTGACCAGACCACACACTAGAAGGTGAAGGGACGACGACGTTTCGGTCCGTCCTGGACCATTCTCAAGTCGATTGGACCATCCACAAGTAAGTAATTATCAAAAGATGGCACCAAACCGGGAAGGCTATGTAGCACCATCAAATGTGCGGAATAATCAGAGGACGCTAAATATCACCAAGGATGCCAATACGAGAACAAAAACGCGTAAGGCGAACGATATCAAAAGTATCCGAGTCACCAAGAATTCTATTGGGGGACAGGTGACCGTGAGGTGAACCATCCACGATCGACTTCGAGAATGGTCCAGGACAGACCGAAACGTCGTCGTCCCTTCACCTTCAAGTGTGTGGTCTGGTCAACTATCTTTTGTTAAACTATTTAAAGTATAAGAAACGGTGTACTTACAAAGTAAGCAAGTACAAAGTTTAAGTACAAAGTGTACTTACACTGTACATTTTAAATGCATTGTTTATGTATTTTTTGTTGCCTATATTGGTACATGCACCAGGATGAGTTCCATCCTTTACACTAGTTAAAAAAAAAAAAAAAATTATCTACTTCCTCCTGAAGACATTAACCATTGAAAGAAATTGGGTCCAGTCCCATATGGTTCACCTAATCAAACAAAACTAACATGGTATGTATGATTCACATGGTCAAAAATATTTTATAGTATATCTCCCATTTGCCACATTAAGATGGCATGGCATTTATTTGGTCCACTGATGTAAATATTTCTTGGTGGCAGTGGTGAAGGAGCCAGTTAGCTGCCTTCCTCAGTCTTTACCATAGATGATATAAATCTACTGACAGTCATAATTCCCCATCATAAAAAATAAGTACAGTAAATATTTTTGTTTTTCAATCATTTACGAGTTTCACTGTGAATGGGTAAATTATGAATACAAAAACAAAGGACGTGGATAAAAATGGAAGCAGGTAACTGACACAAAACTACTAGGAGCCATTTCAAAATTGGTATGATACAATTTGGCACTCTCAGTCATCCATACACAACTTTTCATATCATTTATGGATGATCTCATTAATAAATAGTTTTTCTTCCATCTTTCACTATTTGTAAGATACCCTGGACAAGCTTATTTGGTTATGTAAGGTAAAGTGTTTTTTTTTTTTTCAAATGAATGCTGGCAGCTGCCAAGACAAGCCAATTATTTGATTGATCTGAAGAACACGACTTATTTCCTGCTAACCTGAGAATCCGTATGCAAGAGTTGCAGTGTATGTCTTAACACTGTATCTATAATTCTGTATTACTATTTTAATGAATTGAGGTGAAGATTATGCACAATCAGAATACCTGTATAACATTAATGAACCCTGAACATTTGTGAAATAATTTTAAAACCCCAAACAAAGAATAATTAAAAATATTATAAAATTAGACCAGTCCAAGAATATGTAAGCATTGGCATGTAAGAGGCCTGGCCGAGGACCGGGCCGTGGGAACGTTGAACCACATCATCATCGCAAGGTAAGGTAACCGCCACCTTGTGAAGTATGTAAGGTTCAGGTCCAGATATAATTCAAGAACGGTGAGTGAAATAAAAGAGCTCAACCATGAAGACAAGCTGAATCAGTTCTATATGACAACAATATCAGAAAGGACAAGAGAGGATATTATCCTAACACACAAGCGTGGAATAAAGGTAGGTAGTCTAATTCACATGAGGCGGCAGGAAATCAAATAAAGTGGCACAGGTGGAAGCAGGTAACACAAATGAAGCCAAGACACAAGAGCAAATGATCAGACATGAAAAAAGCACAAGAATGTCCTGTATAAAACAAGCTTCTTTACAATTTAAATTAACTTGTATTTTATTTTAAATCCAGAGACAACTTTTTCATAACCAATCTGGATCAAGCAAGTTACTCATTTTTGTGCTCACTTTGAATTCAAGGAGAGTTCTAAAACTGGTTGTTTACTCTACGTCATGAAATTTGTAGACTAAGCTAATACTGGTATAATAAAGATTATTAATGTACATCTAAAAAAACAATTCTATTTTTTATAGTTTGCAAAACCCTGCAATAAATACCCATAAATTATTTTAACATTTAGTCATTTTATTACTATCTCCCCCATGCAATACCATAATATTTTTGCTACAATTGCTACAGTGAATGTTGGAATCTTAAAAATTTGCTCAAGGTTTATATGAAAATAGACTTCAATGAATCAACACTGATTCTTACCTGTCTGTCTCTTGTGTCCTGCCACCTTGATCCACTGTGTTGATCTCTCCCTGAGGCCCCAAAGTCTCCTCTGTCTATTTCCCAAAACTCAGGTCTTTTGGGATCATCAAAAGTCCTCCTTGTTGTGCCTCCAAAATCTGCTCTATCAGCATCCCCTAAACCTCGCCTTGATGCACTGTCAAAATCTGGTCTTGCTGGATCACCAAAGTCTTGCCTAGGTAGACCATCAAATTGTGACTTCACTGCTCCACCAAAACTGTGCCTTGATGGACTGTCAAAACCTTGCCTTTGAGTGCCTCCCAAACCTGGCCTTTGAGCGCCTCCCAAACCTTGCCTTTGTGGCCCTCCCAAATCTTGCCGTGGACCTCGCAAATCTTGCCGTGGGCCTCCTAAATCTTGCCTTTGTGGACCCCCAAAATCTTGTCTTTGTGGACCCCCAAAATCTTGTCTTTGTGGACCTCCAAAATCTTGCCTTGGTGGACCTCCAATATCCTGTCTTGGTGGACCTCCAATATCCTGTCTTGGTGGACCTCCAATATCCTGCCTTGGTGGGCCTCCAATATCGGGCCTTTGTGGATTTTCAAGCCCTGGCCTCTGAGGACCTCCAATATCTTGCTGTGGCTGCCCTCCAAAAACTGGCTTTGCAGTTTCTTTAACCTGCAAATATAAATGCTTTGCAACTAGGTAGGAAAAGTTAATTAACTCCTTACTGAAGCAACCATCTAAAATAAGAGCTTTACTGGCTCATGGGTCGGGTCCATGTCTACAGAAAAGTGGACATTTTCTGCATGTTTAATACAACATTTACAGTTTCTCTCCCATAAAATCTTAAAACATGAAGTACTAATGCCATTTGCTTTTAAAAAATCCCATACTTCATCTGACACGACATTAAATTTAAGGTAGCACACAGTCTTTCTTCATTAAAATTAATATACCATGTCAGATCCTAATTAATTGTAAGAAAAGTGTTTACAAATTTAATTAATTTAATTTTAACAAATTCTTGATCTTACATGGACAGTAATGGCAATGAAAATCATTTATAGAAAAAATACATTTCATTTCCATTTATTATGTAATATATTTTCAGGGAAATGTATTACATTCGGCCACGTGCTATCTGAACCCCCTCGAAACTAAGACTGAATGGATAACGTGTGTTCGAGTAAGTGGTTAGTCATCCTGAAAAGCTAGGGGGGGGGGGGGGGGGGGGAAGCGGAAAATTTTGTTGCAGATATTCAACAGTGTTTTGTTGGCACTCAACAATATATGTTCTGATCTGTTTGTTTACAATGCCCCATCAACTATAATCTTCAAGTTACTAAAGATAGAAAAGGTGGTGGTGGTGGATGATGATTAATTGTTGGGTTGAATTAAGTGGAGATTAATGGTGATGGGATAACCTCAGCAGACTGCCTTTTACCATGTACTGTAATGTACCTAATGCCATGGCAGAGTTGAAAGCTTCTGAATCATCCATTAACATATGAACACTGCTCAAGTGGTGCTGTGTACGGTCACTGGGCAAACTTGTTCCATCTTTATTGAACATTTTTATTCAGACTGCCTGTCCCACCCGTTATCAAAACTGTTTTATCTGAACAAACTCCAATCGGATAACAGGCGGTTTGGGTTTGAGGTTTTGCAGATTGGAGCACCGATAAAATGCTAGAGACTCTTTCTACCTAAAACTGGCTATTAAAGGTATCTTTGAAGGTAATATCCCTTTCCTCATATTTTACCTACCCAACCTCCCTTATTCCATGCATCCCTCCCACTTTTGGATTCCTCCTCCTTTCCTGCAATATATTATATATAATATATATTATATATAATATTACATATGTGTGTAAATCACAAAATTAACGTGATGAAAAATATAAGTGTCAGACCACGGAGGAAGAATTGAAACAGGAATTTCCTTTAAGTACTTTGTATCTTCAGACGGAATGAGAATATAATTTTTATTTTTTATTCAGACTGCCTATTCAGACAGAAGGAATATATATAATCATTCTTTCTGAAGATGTATTAATATACAAAAGTACTTAAGGAAATTCCTGTTTCAATTCTTCCTCTGTTGTCTGACACTTTTATATAATTTTTAATTTCAATTTCAAAAGGCTAAACGGCATGAAGAACTAGATCTCACTCCACCAGTCACTGAGAGGTCACATGAGACCAGGTAGCAGGGCAACATGTGCAAAATAACCCTGTTGAAAAGCAGAGGTACAATAGGTAAGCTGAGCGAGAACTCTCAACATCAAGGGCCCAAGACTTTTCAACACTCTCTCTCTCTAAACATAAAGGGCATAACTGGCCATCCTTTCATGGTGTTCAAAAAGAGAACTTGATAAACAGTGTCCAAAGGATTCCTGATCAACCTGGCTGTGATTCACACATCTGGCTGTAAGCAGCTGCATCTTACAGCCTAAATGAACAGCACCAACTGTGGAAATGGTGATCCTCGGAACCAACGAAAGGTAACCGAAAGGTAAAGGTTCTCTCAAGAAGAACTTCCTCGCTTCCAATGTCAAAACACATTTCTTGAAATTATTCAAACTTCTCAAATACAATTATGCAGCTGAAGGGTTAATGCTAAACATATATTACAGAAGTTCACTTGAAGAAAAATTTTTTTTTAATACACATCTATATTTTGCAAGTGACATTCAAGCACAACTTACACCAGGCTTATCCTTCTGTTGAGAGCTATCTGCTGGTTTTGTTTCTTCAGTTTTGCTCTCTTCCTTTTCACCTTCAACCTCTTTCCGCTCATTGTCTTCCTCATCGTCATACCAGTCTCCTGGAAGCGTGAATTTTTCTGCCTTTTGTGGGGGTACACCAATTGGTCCAATTTTCAGTGGCTCAGCTCCAAGCTTTACATCTGAAGTAAACAAAAAACAACAAATAGATAAGCACCAATATATTTATAAAACTTGATGATGTATGATAAAACTCATACATCGAGATGAGTTTTAAATGTTTAAAGGACAAATATCTTAGCAATGCAAAACATAAAGGGTTCTTTATCATCCCTATCAACCATAAAAATTCCAGATGCACTTTAAAATTTGATGGTTCACACAGAAAAAAAACTATTTTGTGGTGCAGAAATTAATGCCTTACCCACTTGCATGTCAAGCAGGGCATGACCTAGAAACCCAGACAGATAGAAGGGGACACAGAGAATGATAAATACAAATATACAGTGGCGCCTCGATTAACGAGTTTAATGCGTTCCGGCACTGAGCTCGTCATGTGGAAAACTAGTCTTGTGAAATAACAACAAAACTGTCGTCAGAGGTGTCCGAGAACCAGCGGGAATGCTCGTTAATCGAGCGAAAGCTCGTCAGTCGAGGCATATTTTCTGCGAGTGGCTTGCTCGTTACTCGAAATGCTCGTAACTGGAGCCGCTCGTCACTTGAGGTTCCACTGTAGAATGTTGTCACCAAAGATTCTAGCTTCCTAGGCATCATTGTATAATCTTAAACCAATTTAAGATTGTTGATTATAGTGAAACTGGAATCTGTTTATCACAGCCACATCTTAGAAGATAACGAGATATCAAGTGAATACAACACAAGTACAACTGTAACTAAAATTACTTGCTTCTCAAAGAAGAAATGTGTTACCCAACAGAGAGGCTGGGAATTATGTGAACCTCTTCTTATAAGCCAGGAATACATTTACACCTGAACTTTTAGTGCATTCTAAGAAAATTTACTCAGTGCCCAAACACATGGAGTTTGATTAATGAAAAAATTCTACAAACAATAAAAGATTGCAGACAAACAGTTTGAAAACTTTCTTAGCAAGAAGATAGCTAAATCTTGACTAAGCAGGTACACACACTTTTAACTACACATAATAAACTTGGCCCTGACCATTTATATAGATTTATTTTCCTCACTTTCTCTGAGAATTATCCACCAGGAAAACATGGGAATAGAAAAATAATACAAAGAAAGAGAAAATCCTGATACGAGAATATATTCTCAATGCTTCAAGATGATGGCTACACCAGCAAAGAGAAGAGATAATCAAGAACAAGTCAATTTAAATTACAGTACTCTAAATGTCCTAAAATTTAACTTTTAAATTACTTTAAAATTATTTGCAGTTTTGAAGACTAAACAACACAACACACCAGAACTTGAGGAGATGATGACGTTTTGATCCGTCCTGGACCATCATCAAGTCAATTGCCTTCTGGTGTGTATGGTTTAATCTTCATATCTTCAGCCATGTTATTGTGACCCATCGTCTGCATATTTGCAGCTTTATTTTAATAGGTACAGAAAACCATCAATGTATCATTACCACTTCCCTATGATCACAACAATGGTCTTACCTATTTTCTCATCCTCCTGGTCATGGAACACAGTCTTCGAAGTGGAATCCTTCTTTTGTTCACCACTCTTTTCCTTTCCCTTCTCCTTCTTGGGTGGTTCACCAGCCAGGTCCAGACCAGGAATCTCTGCAGATCTTCCGACGCCCAAATCAAGATTTCGCTGCTCTTGTTCCCGTCTGTTATCTGATTAAAAGGAAAGTGTAAATGAGGAGGCCTTGAGAGTACATTTGCTTCTTAAGGAAAGATAATACTGGTTACATGGATACATCACAGTCACAACAGGTCGATATTCTGCACACACACGCACGCAGCAGGAATTAACACCAAAGTACTTGCGGGCTGGGTCACATTGGTTTTTATGGACGTTGAAGAATGCTAAATTCTGCCAGAAATAATTAACAGGAGGTTCATGCATATATACTCAGTCAGTACAAATGCTGCTTGCTTTGATAAGGGTTAATGGCCAGTATACAGATAGGGTTAATAATTCTTAAGACATTTTCAATTTTCAAACACCAGCATACAATCAAACACAAAAATTATGATATGACCCCCATTAGTATGAAATTCTGATCCCCCTTGTTCATTATGAATCAGACAAGTTACATCATGTAACAAAATGACAAAGTTCTAATAACTGATACAATTTACAACAATCAAGACAAAGATATCAGCTCTTAAAATTACTTGTGCAGTACCCTACCTCTATTCCAGCCTGGTGGCCCATCAGTTCTGTTGTGATCCATCTCTCCACGATTATCCCAAAACTCATTGCCCCGTCCACCACCTCGACCTCGACTCCTACCACGATCTGCCAAGAATCTTGCATTATTTAAATTGAAAGTGACTCAAAACTAAAGATTAATTTATGACAATGTTAATTAATTGAATCATTTTTGTTGATGTGAGAGAAAACTAGTAAAAGTGAGTGTGAACACAAGTAACAGTTGCAGAGATAGCACAAGGCTCCACATGTGAAATGTACATAAATGGGGCAGGCATAGAAGGTCAGTTTGAATACCTTGCCGATGTCAATTTCTGATGCAAGTTGTACAAACAAATTTAAGTCAGGAAATCTGTGATGTGTCGATGGTTCTGTATACACTCACATACATGCAAACACATTTGTAGACATTCAGTTTTATAATAAATGTAAGAACTCGACTCACCAAAGCCCCCACGACCCCTCTCACCAGCACGGCCTCGTCCTCCACTCCTTGAATCATCTTTGTTGAAATGCCTGTAATGATGATATAGGGTCCCACAGTCAGATTTAACACCCTTCATAAAATGATGAAGAACATGTAACATTAGCTACACAGTCCTTTCTTTAAAGGTTATCTGGTTTATTTGACAATCAGCATTGGTGTACCAGACCTTGATTATTTATTGATTGTTGTTGTTGTTCCATCTTCTGAATATGTCAGAGGATAGAACACTCATGTTGTCAGGGAAGGTGGGGTGCTGTTTGGCTCCAAGTAACTCAAATGCAGGCGAGAGCAGACGAGTGGATGTCAGTCATGCAGTGTGGTTTAAGAGTTGAGAGGTTTGGAAGCTGAGAGGAAGGGGGAGGGTTGTGATAATAGAGTCCTGAGGGAGAATATAGGAGGGAGAGAGGGGTATGGGTAGTTGATAGTCAACGGGTGGCAACTGATGGGTGAGGTAAACAATTGATACCTGGTTGATGGGGTTCTGGGAGTTCTTCTACTCCCCAAGCCTGGCCCGAGGCCAGGCTCGACTGATTGGTGCTTTTGGGGTATAGGATGAAGTTTTACTGGTATAATTGGTCTAGGGGAAGGTTCTGAAAGTACTCTGCTCTGCACTCTCAAGTCAGTCCTGGAAACTGAGTACAGTACATCTGAATTCCTGGTGGTATTGTGGAATGGTGGCCGGGATTTAATGCAAATACAGTACAGGATATGTCAAGATAGAGGGCAGGGTGGAAGACATCTTTAAATCGGGAGTGAATATAAGTGTTTGCATGTTGTTATACAACATATGAAAATTCATGAAGAGAACTGGACACATGGTTTTATGAAAAGGCAAAGTATTGTGGTGAATGACTGCTGGAGTTGAATGCTATATAGAGTAAATGATATAACAAGTAATATTTTGTTGAATACCTATAATAATCTATCTTTCATTATACTGTTCAGCTATTTTTTTAATGCCTCCCTACACAATGAAAATGGGAAATGTAGTAAATGATAATGATTAATTGTATTACTTCAACTACTACTATTATTTCATCATTCATGAATATACTGTATTTAATCTATCATATTATTATTCACAATCTTCTAACCAACCCTTCATGCTCAATACTACTACAATGCAACCCACCTGTCACTGTTTCCTCTCCAATCACTGTTGTCCTTTTGTGAATCAAATTCTTTATTGTCACCTTCACGCCAGTCTCTTGATCTTCTGTCACTGAAATCATCACGTCCACCTCGACCTCTGCCAGCCTGATCATTTCCCCCTCGACCTCTTCCAGCTTGATCATGTCCCCCTCGACCTCTTCCAGCTTGATCATTTCCTCCTCGACCTCTTCCAGCTTGATCATTCCCACCACGACCTCTGCCATCTTTATCATTCCTACCTCTATCTCTGCCATCTTTATCATTCCCACCTCGTTCTCTGCCAGACTGATAACTCCCACCACGATCTTTACCAGGTTCTTCATTTCCACTTCGGCTTCTATTAGAATCTTCATTTCCACTTCGGCTTCTATTAGCTTCTTCATTTCCACCACGACCTCTGCCAGACTGCTCATTGCCACCTCGCCCTCTGCCGACATCTTCGTTTGCACCTCGACCCCTGCCACTCCGATCAGTCCCACCCCGTCCTCTGCCAATTTCACTTTCACCTCTACCTCTACCACCTCGATCATTGCCACCTCGGCCTCTTCCAGCCTGATTTATTCCACCTCGACCACTGTCAATACCACTTTTACCAAATTCACTCAAGTTACCTCGATCTTGTTCATTTTGGCCAAAGGGTTCTCGGCCTCGCCCACTTCGATCAAAACTTCCCTGAGCTTGTCTACCTGCATCAACAAGTTCTTGACCCCATCTACTTGTGCCTCTTCCACTTCCACTCGAGTCAAAGTTTCCTCGACCCCACCTGCTTGGTTCAAGTCCTCTAGTGCCACGCTTATTGGAGTCACCAGATCCCCGACCCCATTCAACTTGGTCAAATCCTCCAGGAACCCTATCATCTTGATCTTGAACTCCTTTTTCCACTTCCATTGCACTTTCACCAAATCTTTCTTGATCAGGTCCCTGATTATCAAAAGCACCTCGCCCTCGACCCCTATTAGCAAAGCCACCTCTTTCAGGTTTTTTTTTATCCAACAATCCTCTAATCTCCTTATCAATTAAATTTCCACCACCAATTCCTGTGTTTCTATCATCTTTGTCAAGTCCTCCCTGTAAACGATCATCTTGATCAACTGAACCTTTTTTGCCTTTATCTAATCCTTCTTGAAATGGTTTACCACTATCAATTCCCTCTGGGCCTTGCCTGAGTGTGCTAAAGCTTCGACCATGTCCTGGGGCACTTCCTTTATCTGGAGAGTCAAATCTTCCGCGACCATGCCCTAGCTGATCAAGCTCTCGAGATATACCCCCTCTTGCTTGGTCAAATCCTCCTCTACCTCCTCCTCTCAGACCGAGTTCATTGTGCCCTCGCTCGGATTCGAATCCCCTTCCTCTGTTTCCTTGATTAAATCCTCCTTTATCATTTTTGACATCATATTCTCCTAGTAGAGATCCTCCTCGACCAAGACCCTTGCCAAATGTTTCCCGATTCAGTCCAAAATCCAAGTCACGAGTCTCTCGACCAAAGCCAAACTCCCCACGGTCCTGTCCTTGGTTGAAACCACCACGGCCTAAACCTTGGGTAAAGCCTCCCCGTTCCTGACTTGATCCACCAGCACCCAGTCCATGTTTAAAACCACCTTGGCCTTCTTGACTGAAACCACCTCGATCTTGATTTAATCTGCCACGGCCCAGTCCTTGACCAAAACCTCCCTGGTCTTGGTTTAATCCACCACGTCCAAGGTCACCTTGGTTAAATCCCCCTCGGTCAAGTCCAAAACGTCCTTGTCCGAGGCCACCACGATCCTCTCCTGGGTTAAAACCACCCCGTTCTTGGTTGAAACCAGCTAGACCCAGTCCTTCACTAAAACGCCCCCTCTCCTGGATTAAACCACCTCTGTCATCTTGGTTAAAAGCACCTCGCCCAAGGCCTTGATTAAAACCACCACGCTCCAGGCCCTGGTTCAAACCACCTCGACCAAGTCCATGGCTTGCACTGCCAAAACCTCTTTCTTGACCAAATCCTCCAATGCCCTGTGACTGATCAAATCCTCCTCGACCTTGTTCCTGTCCAAATCTCCCTCGACCTTGATCCTGACCAAATCCTCCTCTTCCTAAATCTTGACCAAGTCCTCCTCTTCCTAGATCTTGACCAAGTCCTCCTCTTCCTAGGTCTTGACCAAGTCCTCTTCCTAGATCTTGACCAAGTCCTCCTCTTCCTAGGTCTTGACCAAGTCCTCTTCCTAGATCTTGACCAAGTCCTCCTCTTCCTAGATCTTGACCAAGTCCTCCTCTTCCTAGATCTTGACCAAGTCCTCCCCTTCCTAGGTCTTGACCAAGTCCTCCTCTTCCTAGATCTTGACCAAGTCCTCTTCCTAGATCTTGACCAAGTCCTCTTCCTAGATCTTGACCAAGTCCTCTTCCTAGATCTTGACCAAGTCCTCTTCCTAGATCTTGACCAAGTCCTCTTCCTAGATCTTGACCAAGTCCTCCCCTTCCTAGGTCTTGACCAAGTCCTCCCCTTCCTAGGTCTTGACCAAGTCCTCCTCTTCCTAGGTCTTGACCAAGTCCACCTCTTCCTAGGTCTTGACCAAGTCCACCTCTACCTAGGTCTTGACCCAGTCCTCCTCTTCCTAGGTCTTGACCCAGTCCTCCTCTTCCTAGGTCTTGACCAAGTCCTCCTCTTCCTAGGTCTTGACCAAGTCCTCCTCTTCCTAGATCTTGACCAAGTCCTCCTCTTCCTAGATCTTGACCAAGTCCGCCACGTCCTTGATCTAGGCCTAATCCTGCTCGCCCTTGTTCAAGTCCTCCTCGTTCTTGTTCAAGTCCACTTTTTCCCTGCTCTGGTCCAAGTCCTCCTCGTCCTAGTTCTTGCCCAAATCCTCCTTGGTCTTGTCCAAATCCTCCTCCTCGGCCTTGATCAAACCCTCCTCGTCCTTTATCAAACCCTCCTCGGCCCTGATCAAATCCACCTCGTCCTTGATCAAATCCTCCTCGTCCTTTATCAAATCCTCCTCGTCCTTGATCTAATCCACCTCGTCCTTGATCTAGTCCTCCTCGCCCTTGATCAAATCCTCCTCGGCCCTGATCAAAACCTCCTCGCCCTTGATCAAAACCTCCTCGCCCTTGATCAAAACCTCCTCGCCCTTGATCAAATCCTCCTCGGCCCTGATCAAAACCACCTCGGCCCTGATCAAAACCTCCTCGGCCCTGATCAAAACCTCCTCGACCTTGATCAAATCCTCCTCGCCCTTGGTCAAATCTTCCTTGCCCTTGTTCTTGTCCAAATCCTCCCCGTCCTGGTTCTTGCCCAAATCCTCCTCGGCCTTGATCTTGGGTAAACCCACCTCGACCTGAATCCAAGCCAAATCCACCACGACCTACATCACGTCCAAATCCACCTCGGTCTTGTCCCCTTGGTTGATTCAACGTATTTTCAAGGTTTCCAATACCATGGCCACTATCTGATCGATTGACACCACCTCCTCGTTCTCTATCCTGTGGACAATATATATCAGTTACGCACAAATACAAAATTAATATCAATACAGGAAGTAACAAGAAGCCTGATTATCACTGAGGAAATAAAGTAGGCATAAAGTGGCTTTAGTAGAGATGTGTGGAGGTGTATGGAGCAATAACAGTACAGAAAAGAAAGTTGACAAAAATTCTGGAAAATTTGGAAGCTAGCTGCCTATTTCAATTAAAAATGCTCTGTCCTATACAATTTTTTTTAACTCAAAACCAATTCCAAATTTTTTATGCTGTACTGTAGAACATTTTAAGTCATTGTCACGTATAAAAACACGTAACTGGTCTTATAGTAAAATTTGCTCTGAAATCACTTGCAACCTAGACTACTCCGAGTATCTGATACCATCAGGATGGCTTTAGACATTTCAGTATAGCTTTGATTATGTTTTCAAGATATTGTTCAAGGTCATCCAAACCCCCAATGCAATGTGATCAAAAGGTTCTTATATCTGCAACCAATGGCCTACACTCTCCAGTAACAAGAGACTGTACCTTCCTTGCACCACCATACATAAGTATTAAAGTCTGAGTCGATATGTGAAGGTATTCTTCAGGAATCACTCAAGGAATCCAATCAGGAGTACTTACTACCAATCCCCATAGGAAGTAAAAGAAATATCCAGACTATAAGAAGGGACATACTCAATGAAAATACATTATAGTACATTAGAAATTGATACAGAATTATACACACACTCCTGATTCTTTCCTTGAGATTTTTATATTAAGTTTACATATCCCACATTTCTATATACCATACATTTAACAAATATAAACACAACAAATTCCTCTAAACAAATACACACAATGCTAATCCTTCAAATACCTACTTGAGCCCACTGCCAAGCACTGCCTTGCCAGTTTCTGTCTTGGTCACCATGACCCTTCCTCTGCCATTCCCCTTGCTCTTTATCACTCAAATCTTTCCAGTCATTCAATTCCATGGGTTTCTTTGGGTCGAGGCCAGGAGGCAGACCAGCTGCCGGGATTGCAGAGGCTGTACCTGTGGCAGTGGAAGCTGGACCAGTAATGCTACCACCAGGACCAGGAGCATCAATACCAATTTTATTTTGAGTCTGCCCCAGCTGCTGCTCTTGTACAAATTGTTCTAATTTTGTTTTACGAATATCATCTCTTTTTGCCAATAGTTCACTTCGCCATCTAGACCAATCCTCTTCATACCTTATAAAAGAACAAAAAAATTAAGTTCAAAAATATATTTTCACATACAACAAACTTCCAAAGGGACATTAATTTTATTTTTCAAATTCTGTATACAATACAAACATAACTTGGGAGATGAGGAGAAAGATGAGAAGCAAGAGGAGAAGAGACAGTCAAGACAATAGACATACAGTACACTGACACCCCAAAAATCCAAACCTCGTTATGGCAGAATTTGCAAAAAATCTGGACCAAAATCAACCACGTAAAATTATTTGTCAAAATTAATTTTTTTCATAATCTTGCATTTTATGTTTATAAATACGGTATTATTTTAAATAATACATTTTAGAAATGTTTCACTCAGTTAGTAATCTACAATAAACTCCACAAAAGTTTAACAATTTTACTGGTGCATTCAGTGCCCTGCCAAGCTGAGCTGAGATAGAGTATCTATATCTATCTATATCTATCTACATCTATCTATATCTATCTATATCTATCTATCTATTTATATATCTATCTATCTATATATCTATCTATCTATATATCTATCTATCTATATATCTATCTATCTATATATCTATCTATATATCTATCTATATCTATATATCTATCTATCTATATCTATCTATCTATATATATTTATCTATATCTAGCTCTACCTATATTTATCTATATGTATATATATATATCTATATCTATATCTATCTATATATATCTATATATATCTATATATATCTCTCTCTGCTCCAAAATGGAATAAAAATATTTGTGTTTACATTTACTAATTACAAATAATACTTAACATCCCACCAAATTCATTGTTTATATATTATTTATTTGTTGCTATGTATCACTTGCTATAGAAAAAATGTAGAAAATTTGGTGATAAATACTTACTTACTCCCACTTACACAGCCCCCACAAAAATAGGGGCTAGGGGGGGGGGGGGGACATGGCATATGGCTGTGCCATGCTCGAGTACATCACACTCCACTGTGATGGTATACCTCCACTGGCAACCATTCATTTCTCGGTTGACTTTTCACAAGCTTTTCTGACTTACTTTTTACTAAATTTATTCCTACATGCATAATAAATACCACATATTGAGTCAAATCTGCAAATAATATTTAAATCTCTCTCTCGAAAAATACACGCATTCCTCCCATTACTAATGTGGCAAAAATTGGTTCCACGAGAGCCTCATTGAGCACAAACATATTTTGGGTCGGTATACATCCAACAGATGTTAACACCTTAGGCTGTCTGCCATTTCTAACACCATTTCTCTTTGAATCTGCACTAATTTCTCCCCCATGAACTCGAGTCGAGATATTTTACCCTACCTGATATCCCATGTAGCAATTGCAATTGCTCTAACATGACCAGTACCTCTTCCTAAAGTAACTACCCTAATGCTTGGATTCTCAATTAAGTATTTAATTTTGCTGACATCTCAATTTTCCTCACACTCCTGCCAAGAGACTTCATCACAAGCTCACTCATAAAAATAAAGAAATTTCTACCAAATTTACAACCATAGACAGTTCAGCTGATCGAGAAGCTTGCACTACAGTGGGTGTTGAGGAAACAAATAACACAAGTGATCTTGAAGCCCTTGAGGCCACATCCAAACACCAAAATTGCCAATCAATGACTACCAGAAAGAGATGAGTAAAACAATTAGCAGGGAATGGGGGGGGGGGGGGGAAAAAGGCACAACTATATACATACTTCCTGAGAGCATTTTTGTCTGGATGACTTTTGTTCTCATCTTGCCATTGTTTAAATTGTTTCTCCCAATTGACAAACTGCCTGTCAAACTCCTTCAGGTCCTCATCACTCTGTAAAGGTAATAAATATTTTACAATTCCAAGTTAAAATCAAACTACAGTAGTAATCAAAAGATACATCTTGGGAAGCTTCCCAAGATGTTGGTCATATTCCACCCTTGTACGCTCAAACTATTCATTAGTTTTCAGGAATCCTACTAACCTGGTACAGTGACACCTCGGCTTATGAATGCCCCTATTTACGAATTTTTCGGTTACGAGCCCAGTTTCTTCGTAAAATGTGAATCGCCTTACGAGCTCTGCCTCAAGTAACGTGGCTTGTTGATACGCGTATGGGTGACCTAGCTCGTAGTTCCTGGTGGCACGGTCACCCGCGCTTCAATTTACCAGTGCCTCCCGCTTAGTGACGATCGTGCATGAATTCTTTGTAAAGAATTTCATTGTTTTTTTTACTTTTTTGGGTTTTGAACATAAAAGTAATTTATTATAAATCACTCCATGGGTCTCAAGAAACTCAGTGGTAAGGTTCAACCTAAGAAAACACACGTGAGGATGACCATATTGGAAAACAAAGAGATCATTCAAAAACATGAAAATGGTACAAAGATTGTTGAACTAGCTAGGCAGTACAACAAATCTTCAGGGAAGGAGGCCATAGAGGATGTCCCTTCCTCGTTAAGAAAATGTGTGCAGTATGGGAAGAACCGTAAAGTTTTGCTGAAAAGACTCACCCAAAGCTTTAGTAGGCTGCTGCATTGACCTTATTAATGACAATGTGATATCTCACTACAGACAAGTGTTAAAATATAGGGAAAACAAATGTCTTTTAGACAGATTCCTAGTAAGACCAGGAAGCAGTGAGCCACAACCAGTTACTATTGGTATGCCTGCAAAATGTAGGAGAGAGTGTGTACCCTAGAAAAGTCATCAGAGCCTGATGTTATAATGGATAGGGGACTCCCTTTCCAAACACTAACACTTCCCCCCCCACTCCCTTACCATCTTCCATATACCAATAAGAGTCATCAATAAAGGGAAGCTATAACTTGTACATACTATAGTAGTAAATATTTGTGTGAATTAGGTATGAAAAGTATCTTAAAAGTTAATGCTTTTGGGAGTGTGGAACGGATTAATTCAATTTACATTATTTCTCATGGGAAAATTTTGTTTCGGGTTGGAAATTTTCGGGTTATGAACCGTCTCTGGGAACGGTTTAAATTCGTTAACGGAGGTACCACTGTATTAATACTTCACATCATTCCTTCCGGTGTCACTTGTACCATCTCTCATTTACCAGACGACAAGATAACATATATGGAAATGCACAATACCCCGAGGACTATGTAAATGCAAAGGAAAAAATATATAAAGGTACATTATTTAGATAATTTAAATAAATTGTATTCAATCAGAAACTTGTACAAACCACCTGTCCTTTTACAAATTAAGACTGAATTTGGCCGTTTGCCCGTATGGCAGAAAATGGACTTAATTTGAAAATGAAATACAAATGAAAATAAATTTTGGATTTTTTTTTTATTCTAAAACAGAAAGTTAAGGGTCCTCTGGTAGGTTAGGAAGGCAGGAAGTTCTTCTAAGGTTTCAAAATGTCATGATACCTGGTTGATGGAGTTCTGGGAGTTCTTCTACTCCCCAAGCCCAGCCCGAGGCCAGGCTCATGAAAACCGTTAATTGAAAGTTTCCTCTCCTAACCTAACCAAGTAAGCCGGAAGACTAACAGAAAACGGGACAGTACATCACTTTCGTGAGCCAATTTCATTTAAAATTTCGTCCATTTTTTGCCATAGTGCGCATACCAGCAAAAAGCAACAATATTTTAAGAGAATGGGTTGTTATAAAACCAGAAAACTGCTTAGAGATTTCATTAGCTTGAGTCGATTGTTTACTTAATCTATAAATATATTTTTTACTAACATATCTAGATACTGCATTTGTCACTGTACTACACAACACACCACAATGTAACTCACCTTTTCATCAAACTTGGATTCGGCACCAAAGTTCCTGTTTTGCTGTCCGAATGAATTTCCGCGTCCATCTATAATAGCAACAAACAAAATTGTAATGATAATATCTAGTGCAATTCAAAGTACTCAACAGTGTAATAACCAGGAAAGCCTCACATTCCTTACTTACTCTTTACTAGAATGTCTCCACAGCTTTAACAGCTGTATCTTGGAAAAGATGTGGGTGTGGGGAAGGTGTGATTGGTGTGGTATGGTTAGGATGGTGTGGGTGTGAAGATGTGGTTGAGGTGGTGTGGGTGTGAAGATGTGGTTGAGGTGGTGTGGGTGTGAAGGTGTGGGTCCTTTGAAGGTGTGAAGGTGTGGGTGTGAAGGCATGGTTGGAGTGGCATGGGTGGGGTGTAGGCATGAGTAGGGCAGAGCTGGGTGTGGACAAATAAGTGTAGGTAGGTGGGTAACTGCATTTGTTTAATCCCAAAATATTTTGGCAATAAACCTGTTAAGTGTTAGTTATTGTAAAATCCAAGAATTGCAGTAATTACACCTGATACAGGCAGTGTGACAACTGCAATGTGTCTATTCAGTGAAGCAGTTGTAACCTTGGGGGTTGTAACCGACCCCACCCTATCTCATAAATAAGTTATAAAGCCTAATGCTCTGACCAGCATATCATATACTAGTATTTGAATTCAGTCGAAACCCTATGAATTGTTTAAAAACAAAAGAATATACTGTATTTAAAGAAAGCCTTAATGCAGCAGAGGAATGGTGGAGCCAGCACCCAGGGAAGCAATAAAAGTGTGTAATTGATATAGTTAAATGTGTGGAATATTGCGATAGTGTGTAATTTGAAGAATTTATATAATTAAATGTGTGGACATCGATATGCGAAAAAAACATGGTGCTCATATCTAGTGGCACGTATATTTTATTCTTTGTTTGATCAATAAAATTGTTTTTACTCTTATTACACTATATACACATTATATGTAACAATCTACATTTTTCTGCACCATAATGAACCATTAAGCTGGCCTCTTGAGTTTATAATCTGTTAACCAAGCTGCAATATCAGTCTACCACCCTGGCTGATCAGTGCGGCAGGGGGGGGGGGGGGGGAGGTTGCCACAAACATATTTTTACATAATTATTTCAATGTCTTTAAATGGTTTTTACCTAATTTTTGTAGAAATATTATTCAATATTGTGTATTACGGGCTATTCGTACCCGTGCCACCACTTGGGAGGTTTAATCTTCATCAATCAATCAATAGTGTGTAATTTAAGGAACTTGAACAGTTAAATGTGAGGAAGATTGTTATGCTAAAAAATATGATGCTCATATCTAGTCCCGAGGACAAGGAGCCGGGATATAGGATGGAGTGAAGAAATGCTGCCCAACCGCTTGCAATACCTTAGATTAATGCCGACTCTGGAAGAAGCAAGATTGTTGCTCTAGCAACCAGTTCAATATATGGTCCATACACGAGTGAGAGGGATTTGCATAAATAGAAGATGTCGATAGACTTTTGGCAAACCTTCATTCTTATGTTCTAAGCAAATATTTTTTTTTTAGCTTCTCTGGTTAACTCTTTAATATAAATTTACCACTTTTCTACACAAGCTAAATATTGTGTTATTATCATGTTTACTGCTCACTTAACTCTCTATATTTTCAAAACATTTGCTACTAAATAAAAATTATTTCCTTTTGTTAATTTTCTGAAACAAAATTGTTCACTGATCCCAGTAATAGCATTCATATACAGTATAAACTTTAAAACAATTTTATGCCACCTCACATTTCTGTGTTTTCATTATATTATATATGATGCATGCACTACAAGTTACAATTTTGACCCTAGCTGAACACTTACTAATTACATACCAAAGTCTACCAAACTAACGATCACACAGTAAAATACATACGATCCGAGCCAAGGTGACTTCCTCCCCTGTCTTGAGCATTCTGTCCCCGATTGTAACTGTCCCACGACGAATCTGTCCGATTACCACGATCCGCATAACTTCCCCAAGGTTGATTACTTTCATTTCTACCTTGTCCACCTCCAGGGTTCCAGTTTGAGGAACCTTGACTGCCTCCATGTTGATTGGGACCCTTGCCCCAGGAGTTTCCCCATTCTCCTTCACGGGACATTTGCTGAGCTGAATCATAATTTGGTCGATTCTGTGCCCCATGGTTACCCCATCCTCCTCCTCCTCCTCCTATGCCACCTCTCTCTGCTGCTTGTCCCATCAACCCTTGTGATAGTCCTTTCAGTCCAGGAGAATCGCCCATGGACCCAGGTGTCTGTCCAACTGCCGACTTATCTTGAGTCGAATCCTGCGTTTTCCCTTTGGCATCCCCAGTATCTTTGCCAGCATTAGGATGTGCCCCTAGTAAACCGTCCCCTCCTTTACTTGAGCCACCACCCTGAGACTTCTCTGTCTTCTTCTCTTCCTCTTCCTCAGGTGGTGGTGGTGGTGGAGGATCATCTGGTGGAAGAGGGGCTTTAGGAGAGGAAGAATCTGGAGGAGCTGCACCAGTGGAGGCCCCGCTCTGTGTAGAATTACTAGCATTTGCTGCACTGGAGGATTGGGTACCGGTAGAAGCTCCACCAGCACTAGAATTGGCACCATTTTGGGAACCCATGGCTGGTGGGGGAACACTAGTATCCTGGTGCATATTAGAAACTGCCGGGGGAGGTACAGACATCATTGGCATCACCCCGGATGTAGTGCCATACATGCCATACATGCCATAAACCTGTAAACAAGCAAACTAATTCAGATGTGAAAATAAATATCAAAGTTGGGCTAGGTTAATCTAAGCTTAACAATGTCATACATAAACAGTGCAGTGATATGCAGTACAGTAATGTATATACACTTCTCGTCACTAACAAGATACGACAAACTTATCAGTTTATTTCATGAATGTAAAGTTGTTGTTAGTGAAAAAATAAAATAAACCATACAATGCTATCACATTAAACAATTTTATTATCTTTAACACACGAAAATATATACTGTATTTTACTTAAATTAAAAATGACAAATAAAAAGGCATAGAGCTTCTGTTTCAATATTCAAATGTAAGCAAGACTTCCTAAATAGAAAATATAAGTTAACTACAGTCATCAGACCTAGAAAACTACAAATTTTTAAACAAATTATAGCCGTTACAACTGCAATTAATAACGACTCCTATTTTCACCTGATGCTAGAACTCCACCCCACACCTGTGATGTGCTCGCCCTGCTAGCACCCCACACCTGCTAGCACACTGACCTACTTATCAAGCCCATTTATATGAAAATCCTAGAAATCAAATCTAAAGTTTGCTGCAATTTCCACAACTTACATTATTTATATGGGGGTAAATGGGTGGGTAAATTGTGTACTTACCCCTGTCTGGCCCCATACCCAGGGGTTTGCAGCAGCAGCGGCAGCAGTAGTAGTAGTAGTAGTAGTCTGTTGCTGCCACTGCTGCTCATGCTGCTGATGGTACGCTGCAGAGTACTGCTGTGCTTGTTGTTCTAGAACACTCATCGACTCCTGCAACAAGTTATCAATGTAACAAATACATTATTATTACTGCCATTCCCACATTTATTCTGCTCAGAATAAATGTGGGAATAAATCCTTTCCACTACCACCCACAGGATGGGTATGGGGTGCATAATAAATGAACTAAACTAACATAATTACTGTACATACACTGTATATACATTGGTGCATTCCTAATGAAAACATCACTACTGTAATCACATGTTAATTAAAAAACAGTAAATACCAAAATAACAAAAATTGTAGAAAAATATTATCGGAACGTCCAGAGGTACCAATTGGTTCAGATAATCAAGGCGATGAGTGTGACCACGATGAGTCAGTGACCACACGAATCACTAACAAGTTCAAAAAAATAATGGCCGGCCATGGAGTAAAATGCAGCACATAACCACTCACGATGACAGCCAGGAGGCCACTGCCTCTGGTATTGTGCTCTAGAGCTAATGCCTGCTGTGACGTCTCGTTGCCATTGCACACTTCCGTCTACAATCATTCAACCCACATAACCACCGTTCACTTTTTTTTTTAGCCATAAGTATACACCGCCTCAAGCAGGGCGTCGCAAGCTTTTGATTATTAGTGTACTGTAGATTCAAACATTGGTGGGAATCAAATTGTTATTTAACAATAATTGCCTTGTTAGTGATAACAAGATAACCTCACCTACAGTAAGCAAATAAAAATGATAAGACTTTTCCATGCATCTAGCTTAACTACACTAACTCCATATAGGTGTATTATAACCATATATATATGTATAAAAACTGGATAACTAAAATCAACATATGATAACCGTATTAACCAGGGGGGTAAAGATAATGATGATAACCCACACTTTAAGGGTAAACTCGGTAAACCTAACTATACAAGGTAGCTGGATCTGACCCACGCAGGTAACACCAATGACGGACCAACTGGCCTCCTAAGGCAACTTCTATTTCTTGTTCTTAATTATTTGAATTTTTGCCCTAAAGAGTTAATTGAGCAACATCATTCCTCGTGTAAGTTAAAACACTATCATTGGGGCATGTACAACACCCCCATAAGGAGGAAACACTGTACAACACCCCCATAAGGAGGAAATGCTGTACATCACCCCCATAAGGAGGAAACACTGTACAACACCCCCCATAAGGAGGAAACACTGTACAACACCCCCCATAAGGAGGAAACACTGTACAACACCCCCCATAAGGAGGAAACACTGTACAACACCCCCCCATAAGGAGGAAACACTGTACAACACCCCCCATAAGGAGGAAACACTGTACAACACCCCCCATAAGGAGGAAACACTGTACAACACCCCCCATAAGGAGGAAACACTGTACAACACCCCCCATAAGGAGGAAACACTGTACAACACCCCCCATAAGGAGGAAACACTGTACAACACCCCCCCCCCATAAGGAGGAAACACTGTACAACACCCCCCATAAGGAGGAAACACTGTACAACACCCCCCATAAGGAGGAAACACTGTACAACACCCCCCATAAGGAGGAAACACTGTACAACATCCCCCATTAGGAGGAAACACTGTACAACACCCCCATAAGGAGGAAACACTACATCACCCCCATAAGGAGGAAACACTGTACAACACCCCCCCCCATAAGGAAGAAACACTGTACAACACCCCCATTAGGAGGAAACACTGTACAACACCCCCCATAAGGAGGAAACACTGTACAACACCCCCCATTAGGAGGAAACACTGTACAACACCCCCATAAGGAGGAAACACTGTACATCACCCCCATAAGGAGGAAACACTGTACAACACCCCCCATAAGGAGGAAACACTGTACAACACCCCCCATAAGGAGGAAACACTGTACAACACCCCCCCCCCCATTAGGAGGAAACACTGTACAACCTCTCCCATTAGGAGGAAACACTGTACAACACCCCCATAAGGAGGAAACACTGTACATCACCCCCATAAGGAGGAAACACTGTACAACACCCCCATAAGGAGGAAACACTGTACAACACCCCCCCCCATTAGGAGGAAACACTGTACAACACCCCCCATTAGGAGGAAACACTGTGCAACACACCCCCATTAGGAAGAAACTGTACAACACACCCCCATTAGGAGGAAACACTGTACAACACCCCCATTAGGAGGAAACACTGTACAACACCCCCATAAGGAGGAAACACTGTACAACACCCCCATAAGGAGGAAACACTGTACAACACTTCCACATTAGGAAGAAACACTGTACAACACCCCCATTAGGAGGAAACACTGTACAACACCCCCCATTAGGAGGAAACACTGTACAACACTTCCCCAATAGGAGGAAACACTGTACAACACCCCTCCATTAGGAGGAAACACTGTACAACACCCCTCCATTAGGAGGAAACACTGTACAACACTCCCCCATTAGGAGGAAACACTGTACAACACTCCCCCATTAGGAGGAAACACTGTTCAACACTCCCCCATTAGGAGGAAACACTATACAACACACCCCCATTAGGAGGAAACACTGTACAACACCCCTCCATTAGGAGGAAACACTGTACAATACTCCCCCATTAGGAGGAAACACTGTACAACACACCCCCATTAGGAGGAAACACTGTACAACACCCCTCCATTAGGAGGAAACACTGTACAACACACCCCCATTAGGAGGAAACACTGTACAACACACCCCCATTAGGAGGAAACACTGTACAACACACCCCCATTAGGAGGAAACACTGTACAACACACCCCCATTAGGAGGAAACACTGTACAACACCCCTCCATTAGGAGGAAACACTGTACAACACTCCCCCATTAGGAGGAAACACTGTACAACACCCCTCCATTAGGAGGAAACACTGTACAACACCCCTCCATTAGGAGGAAACACTGTACAACACACCCCCATTAGGAGGAAACACTGTACAACACACCTCCATTAGGCGGAAACACTGTACAACACCCCCATTAGGAGGAAACACTGTACAACACCCCCATTAGGAGGAAACACTGTACAACACCCCCATTAGGAGGAAACACTGTACAACACCCCCCATTAGGAGGAAACACTGTACAACACTCCCCCATTAGGAGGAAACACTGTTGTTCATCTTATTGAACCAAATATTGAACTCGAGCACAAACTCTTTGCCAGAGGAGTTCAGCCTTGACCATCTTGGCCGTGTCTTCATAAAGTCTTCCTCGCCACAATAAAACACAAGACGCTAAAGAATAACAACAATATTATTTTGCGTACCAAACACGACGCGACAAAGTGGCGTCCATAAACACAACTTTACGTAATGTAAATATCTTACAAACACTACATAATTCCACAAGTGGGCCATGGTGGCCGAGGACGGTGACCCGTAAAGGTCAGGCAGAGGTCAGCCCTAGACCCCCTGCGGCCCACCACACACTTTGTAAAGTGTTATAAGACAAACAGAGGTGGACATTTGTGCGGAGTAAACATCGCTGGTTGGTGGCGTGGGCGTCCCCCACCACCACCAGTGGGCGCCGTGGGCGGCCCCACCACCACCCACCTGGCTCGCGGGCGTCCCCGGCACCGTCCCAGATGCCCACGCCTGGTTCGCCCACATCTTCCGCGAATATGTCCGTCTCGGCCTCTACTATTGAGGATAAAGCTCGAGGAATGCCACCATGATGGCCGGCGAGAGCCTAAACATACGGGGAATCTATAAAACAAGTGGTGGCGGGAAGGAGGGTTGAGTGGCGGGATGCGACCCCGCGGAGGAGGAGTGGATGCCACTATGGCGCTCTGACACCCTATCATGCCACCACCTCCACACTTATTGTCCCGCCAGCCCCGCTTCCTCCTCTCTCTCCTTATAATGTCTACTCCGCTCTTCTCTCTTTGTCCTTTAGTCGCCGTATATACCTCATACAGCTCACTCATGCATCCAGTCCTAATATAAAAAGCAGTCAGAATACAATAACAAACTGAAAGTCTTTAAACTACAAAGCAAACTCTGAAGACTAATAACCGAATTGAATATGCGTATTTGTTAGTTTAGCTTATTTATTATGCACCCCATACCCATCTTGAGAGCGGTAGTGGAAAGTAAAGTAGTAAAGTAAATTTTATTCAGGAAAATACATACATAGTTGTTTTACAAACATAATATTGGATTTATAGATAGAGCTAGTACATGCAATACCTAAAGCCACTAGTACGCATAGCGTTTCGGGCACACGCTATGCAAACGCAAACGCCAAACGGAAAGGGTTACAGAGGCACATAATGGGTTCAGGGACTCAACTCCACAATTCATTTAGCTAAGCAAGTCTTGATGAGCTAGTTACACATTTCAATGCACATCGTCACATCAACAATGGACTCGAGACCAACAAGTACAGTTTCTAAATTTTAAGCAACTGACATGTGGAGAGCTATCTTCTTTTTCTTCAGGTTATCTTGAGATGATTTCGGGGCTTAGCGTCCTCGCGGCCCGGTTCTCGACCAGGCCTCCTTTTTGTTTCACCCCCCCCCCCCCTCTGAAGCAGCCCGTAGCAGCTGTCTAACTCCCAGGTACCTATTTACTGCTAGGTGAACATGAGCATAAAGATGAAAGAAACTCTGCCCATTTGTCTCCGCCTCCACCGGGGATCGAACCCGGAACCTCAGGACTTCGATTCCGAAGCGCTGTCCATTCAGCTGTCAGGCCCCTAGCTAGTGTCGCAATTGATATGTTTGTCCTGCACACCGCCCCGCCCCCCATCCAGTGGGCAGTGGTGGAGTGGTTACAATTTGCGTGTTAAAATGAGCTTTGCAAATTCTGTTACAAAACTTAGCAAATTCTGTTACAACTTATCATACTAGTCCTCAAACACAACTGAGTGCGTTGCCACCATGTTCGCGCCAGCGTTCCAAACGCCAAGAAACTGTTCTACAAGGTACCTTATCCTAACCTACCAGAGGACCCACGGGCAGAAAACTGGACATTATGTCGATTTCGCAAGTCGCTACCATTTTCCAGTACGACAGTTTTTTTTTTACTTTAGGTAAAGTATACGTCAAAATGCGACGTGTTAACTTATGAAGCACATAAGCGTCGCGCGTTCAATACGCACGGAGGCTCCACGGCCTGCTATCAAATCAAATCAAATATTTATTCAGGTAATGTGCATACATACAAGGTGAGATACAAAACGTTGATGGATTTATAGATAGAGCTAGTACATACAATGCCTAAAGCCACTATTACGCAAAGCGTTTCGGGCAGTCTATACTATACTGTACTATAAAAGTACGTACTATATACTGCATTTTATAATTGTTTTCTACGCTGGAAGGTACAAAAGATAACTTCTGACTATGTGGTTTATAGTTTTAGTGCTTTTCCCTTATGTGAAATCGCCAGTCATCATACCTGTACACTCATAAACATCTAGGACACTCTCCATATATACATTATTGATCATTGTATCAACGGAGACCTCATTTTTAGAAATATAAGAGCAGCAAGACTGCCAGCTTGCTCATTAACAAATCTGACACCACATAAAACCTTTGAAAGAGACGAATATTATCAATGCCTTTTGACTCTCATACGAGGGAGGGTTGAGGGCCACAGTTACTAGTAGTTAGTTAGTAACAGTTGATTGATTAACAGTTGAGAGGGGGCCCGAAAGAGCAGAGCTCAACCCCCGCAAGCACAACTAGGTGAATACTGGGTTAACAACACTACAAACCAGACCGACATGAAGGGGCTGATCTCACTGAAACTTAAAACACTGAACAATTTGGTGGATATTGATCCACACTGAAGGACGGAAAACAGGATCATGCTTTTCACCCTTAGAACCGCCTAAATGGATGCAACTAAATGGATTCCAGTACTGAAGGACAAGAGTTATGAGGAGAGGTTAGAGGCTTTAAATGTGCCGAAAGTAAAAGATAGAAGAGAGGTGATATGATCACTACGTACAAAATAGTAATGGAAATCGATAAAATTGATAGGGAAAAATTCCTGAGAACTGGCACTTCAAGAACAAGAGGTCACAGATATAAACTAACTAAACAAAGCTGCCGAAGAAATATAAGAAAATTCACTTTCGGAAACATTGGTAGACGGTAACAAGTTAGGTGAGGTGGTGGAGGCCAAAACCGTCAGTAATTTCAAAGCGTTATATGACAAAGAGTGCTGGGGAGATGGGACACCATGAATGTAGCTCTCATCCTGTAACTACACTTGGGTAATTACACACACCACGGGTCAGCCATATGTTTTAGCACTGATTAAAAAATATCTTATTGAACAGTTTGAAATGGGCCCCTCATTTCCCATCTGGCCTGGGCCTATTACCAGCTTTGCATGGGCCTTGTGAGTAAGGTAGCCCCAACCCTATTTATCTGAACTACCAGCTCCCTTATCCAAAACCGGTAGTTCAGCCTCACGTGGAGTGATCACTACTGTATGGATACAGTATTTCCATTTCTATTCACCTTAAAAGAGGTGAATAGAAATATTATTAATTCACTCATGTCCTACACGGTTGTAAAAAAAAACATATATAATTTAGGAATGCCTGGGCAATGAACATACAACATTGTCATTTACAGTATATTTATTATACAGTACAGTAATAGCACTCGACACCACCTTCATAATCATCAGGGCTCCACTGTTTTTCAGAATGTTATATACATATGCCGTAAAAATATAGATCTATATAAAATAAAACCAAGTCAACCTACATGCCATATTTTCAAGGGTATACAAAACAGTAGTACACATACACACATTTTAGTTTTCTAGGTACAGTACATTACATTTTTTGGGTTTCATGTCAATATGTCACTTGATGTTTTCAAAGTTCTTCATAAATTACATTGTGCAAAGTGATATTTAACCATAAATATTTGTTACTCATCAGTTTGTGTATGGCAATTAGTATGCAGCCTAATGTTACAGTAAGGATACTGAGTAACCAAATTGTATTACTAAGGAACTGAAGGAAGTTATTACCAAATCAAAATGTTCGCTGCCTATTTACAGGTGCCAAATGGAAGACTACATGCGCAATGTATTCATGATTTAATTTTACGTATACAGTACTGTACTATAGTTTAGTTGCATACTAAAAACTTTACAACTTGCAATTCAGTACGTAGGTCGGTACACAAGATTCGTCAGGAAGCCAAGAGCTGGAACTCTGTCACTAAACAGTGTATGAAAAGGATTGGATGTTTCTTTGAACCATAAAGAAAAAAGATAAAGAATGAAAAAGTTTCTGTGAGTCAAACCATTTGCAATACCAATCTCCCACCTCTGTACAGTTACCTAAAGATAGTCATGCATTGGACAACAAACTTCACTCAAATACTTACCAGTAGCACTTAGTTTATGAATTAAAAATTTAGCAATTTTTTATTTAAGATAAACAATTTACATTATTTTATCCCTATTATGAAAAATCACATTGTGAAAAATTAGGTTGTTCAATGATTCAACATAAATTTTACTTATATAGCTGAGAGGTGGTTGGTTATCTGTAAAGGTGTGTAGTGTTAGTTGTGGTAAATTGGTGGGTGTCATCTCTTTGACCTCTCTACCCTTCTTTTCCTAGACTCTTTTCTTATCTCCTCTGGACTGATGCCTCCTCACCTTCATGGAGTAGTTAAGGGGGTATTAATAATAATAATAATAATAATAATAATAATAATAATAATATTAATAATAATAATATTAATAATAATAATAATAAATATTGCAGAGAAGAAAAAATTACAAGGAAAAAATTAACTGAATGGGTTAAGTGAATAATTACAAAATGAAGAGATACTATGCTGTTATTTTTAAGGGATGGATCTGGTTGTTATGTTAATGTGAAAATGAACACATGCTTTTTTCAACATTGTCATAGAATTTTAGTCCAATGTTCTCGGTCTGCCACGATAAAAGAGTACCGTATGTTAAAAATGCAGAAAGGACAAATTAGTGAACCTCTGTCTTGTCATAACAATTACTCCATCATTTCTAGTTACACTTGATTTGACAAATTATCTTGTAATCTTTCTTCAACCACATTAAAAATAAAAAAAAATAAAAAATAATCTATATGCTTATTGTTGTTGAATATATTAATAATGTTATATTTCAATGTTCACTTATTAAAGCACAGTAAAAAGACAACAAAAAATACTTGGTTGAAACTTACCCTACTTAATTCCTTAAAAGAATGCTAAATGCACACAGCCATCTGCAGACTTGATGATTTACCCCTTTATGTGCAACATTGTGACCGTTGCTCACGTTACACAAGCTGTCCCTAGGCTTGACAGTGTACAGTGTTATCAATGATGTTTGTTTGTGGAAGACTTGTAGTTCCATTCATCCCTGCTATAGTTGCAACAAACTTAATTTTTCAATGTAGTCCACTGCAGCAATCTCTCTTTTTTCCAACACATTATATAAGGGCCATAATGTAGTTGTATTTTCTTTAGTTATAATATTGTTGGATACAGTAACATATTTATCATATCTTGGTACAAGTTTGAATCTCATAATGAAAATGAGTATACAGTACTGTACTTCACTTTCAAAAATGTCTGACCATGAAATTTAAAGCAGAGGCAACATATTTTGTTGGGTAGTGGTGAGTATGACCAATCCAGATCTGGGCAGTGGGTAGCTCCTCTTCTTTCTGCACCTGACCAAAACTAACCCGGTAGGAAAGGCCTGAGCAGGCCTTCAAGCCTGCTTTCTGCTGAAGAAATCCAGCAGCAAGTTCTTCCTTAACAAATAGTTTATTATGAGAAATTATTTTAGTTAATACTTATCCTACTTATCAATACATATGAAGCATGACAATTCTATGAAGAAAGATCATTAATAATCACCCTTCTTAACAATATATACATTATCTCTTATTGTCCTAATTCTCATTATACGCTATATGGCTCACTGCATGGCATTTCTTATAGTAATCTTTTGGTAGAAAAAGAAATTCTTGCAAGACACAAGACATGCTAAGTTACACAGTACTTGGAGCCATCCTGTTTCTGATACATGTAAACAATTTTCCGGGGGGCATAAATTCATTTCCTCTCAATGTTTGCTGATGATGAAATTGAATTATGAGAAGGATGAAGACAGAGGATAGAAAGGGACTACAAGACGACCTGGACAAATTGGAGGAATGGTCCAGAAAGCGACTACTAAAATTTAACCCCAAGTGTAAAGTAATTAAATTAGGTGAAGAGAGTAGGAGCCCAAGCACATGGTAGAGAGAAAGACCTGGGGGTTGATATCACACTGAACTTGGCCCCCAGAAGTCCACATCAAAAGGACATCATCAGCTGTGCATGCTAGGAATTGTGTAAGGAATTATTCAGAACCTTGTATATGTCAGACCAATCCTGGAGTATGCAGCTCCAGCCTGGAGTCCACACCTAGTTAAACACAAGACAAAGTTAGAGAAGATTCAGAGGTATGCCACCCGACTAGTCCCAGAGCCGAGAGGTATGAGCTACAAGGAAAGGTTATGGGAATTGAACCTCATGTACCTGGAAGACAGAAAAGTTAGGGGAGACATGACCACCACCTACAAAGTTCTCAGAGGAATTAACAGGTTGGATGAAGACAAACTATTTAGCATGAGTGGAACACTAACAAGGGGACACAGGTGGAAACGTAGTACCCAAATGAGCCACACATTAGAACACATTTTTGCAGTGTCAAGGTAGTTAACCAATGAAATGCACTAGGCAGTGATGTGGAGGAGGCATACTCCATATACATTTTCAAATGTAGATATAACAAGAGCCTGAGCAGGAGGCGTGGTCAAGGACTGAGGCGTAGGGACATTGAGCCCTGAAGCCATCACAAGGTAATCGCAAGGTAACTGCAAGGAGCCCAACAGGCTCAGGAACCTGTACACCAGTTTATTGACGGTTGAGAGGCAGGACCAAAGCACGAAGCTTTATCCCCGCAAGCACAACCAAATGAGTACTCAGTAGCAACCACACAACAGAAGATCCAACTCAGGTAAGCCCTCCAGTATTCCTACCCCATATGGGTCAACAACTACAATTTACATGGCAGCCGTTTTTCTTAACACTTAATTCAATATGAACATTTTTTCTACAAGCACTTCAGATGCTGAACTTGATGTATTGAAGTAAGCTACAGTATATGAACTTCTCAATAAAATACTGGCCAAATGCTGCTGCTGCACTAAGCTGCCCTACAATACTGTAATAAGATACTACCTGCCAGAGTTTGTTACACATGTTTTTCTTTATTAATTTGTGCTGAAATTAACAACTATGCAATACAAATTTACATCATTAAATTACAGTATTAGCAACACTGTAATTGGAAATTCCTTAACAAATATGAGAAACAAGCAATATTCTATCAACAAAATTTGAATGGGCAGTGGGATTGTCGGGCGGCATGCACGAGTTAACTACCCACGATAGTTACAGGTTAACAGCTACATCCTCTTAGTGTATTGTCTTACCTGCAATCTTTTTATGAAGCCACAGATCATAATAAAGAAGGAACACAAGTGTAGCTCTCATCCTGCAACTACATTTTGACAGTTCCTCTTGTATGTATGTATGTGTGTGTAGAGCATCTCTATCTCAGTATCCACCTAGTTGTTTTTTTAGAGGAATAAACTCCAGCTCAAGCTTCTTAGCCATTAATAACCTGTGTAATGCCTCCCTAACCCCCCATGGAATTTATAATACAGTAATTACTTACGATTCATGTCTGCAGCCTGGCCCCTACCTCCTTTACCGAGGCATTTGTATGTCACTATATTTGTATATGTGATTACCTAATTGTTATTACAGCACCTGAGTGTGTGTGTATATTGGGTTTAAGGAGCCTGGTGACTGAGGAGTTTTTTTTCCAAATATGAAATAGTGAAAATTTTTAAACAAATCTTCCATTATTTGGCATCAGCGTCGTAAAATTTTCATCCCAATATGTTAAGAAACAAATTGTTTAAAAATAAATGTGCGAGAGACAGGCGGCAATCGGTACTGATAATAACGATAACACCTCCTATTTACTGGCAATCAGGGATAAAGAGAAGCAAGCACCTGTCTGACGCACAAAGAATAGTAGTAGCAGTAAGGAGGGTCCATAAAGTGGATATGCAGCCAGTGACACCTGGAGGGCCAGATTTCTCACATAATAATGAGTTAGTATGTTGTTATGCTGTATTTTATTACAGTATATATCATATAAATACATTGCACAATGGCAATATTTCTTATGTCCCTTTGTACGAAAAGCTGGCAACCACTTTTTTTGTTTTTCTGTTCTTGGTTTCTATGCAGATTTTGTTGTAACTTCTACATCTTGTAGAATGCATATCCGGCACTAAGCATGTGAAGTTGGAACAAAATTGGTCAACATGTTAATCAGCCACAGCTGGCAGAAGTTGTGACATTTTTGGGAGCCGATTTATTTACAGATTTCAAACTCTATTCTCTTTAGGTTGAATAAGGACCAGATGAGGACCATGAATAAGGACCAGATGAGGGCCTTATCACTTTTATATAAAGTTGTTGCAATATATATGTTTGTTATCCCTTACTTATCCGTATATTTAGTTTTTGGGGGTGGGGTATTTTTTCTTGATTTCATATCAACACACATTGACCTACAACTTTCACATATTCTAGTACGAATGCCAAGCAATGTTTATTGAAACATACAAGAAAAATTCATTAATTAGAACTACCATATCCATTGTCAATAACTTCAACTTCAATTATCTCTCTTCTAAAAAAAACTTAAAGAGACGGCATCAAAAATTCAGTTTCTGACCGATTCTCACCCTTTTTACATATGTGCAAAGTTTTTAGTTCTACGGTGTCCTTAGTGTTGTTTAGTCATAAAGCCATAACGTTTAGATTTACAGTATAAATTTTTTGGCATCTAAATTTTGCACATATTTGGATGACCACATTGAAAAATGTTTTACAATAAACTACTCTCTCAAAGAATACTTTTCAATAAGGAACATGAATGTTATATGCCATTCTGAGACCATAATGAATTAAATAAATATAGGTGACATTTTAATATTTTTATATCTAATTTGAAATAAAAAAAATCTATTTTATTTTTAACTTTTTTCTGTTTATAGTATGATGTTGATCCATTAGGAAAAGTTGAAGCATTTACCATGAAGATGATATTCACAACAAAATTGAGTGTGAGGAAGTTTCAGTCCACAAGCACCAGCCCTCTTAAGGTGCGCTATATCAACTGTCACAAACACTTAGGTTAAAATGGACCCAATTTCTTTCCTTAAAAGTATACTTTAATACCTGTCAGAATTAAGGATTAAAGTAAACTCAACATATGTAAATTAAGAAATACAGTGCACTATTCGCTGTATATTCCGTGCATGTGTATGTATGATTACCCATTTGTGGTTTTATAGAACAGCTCAAGCTTGGTATCCCATCTACTTTTGTATATTTACTCTATTACAAACTTTTTTTTTTTTGTGCTTTTTTTTTCCTATGAACCCCCTTATGTTGCTGCACTTTCAAACTGTTTACAGCTCTAGATGTGAGGGTTGTAATTATCAGGAGAAAGCACTAAACCATTATCACACTATAGCAGCTTTAAGTGTGAGAATTTTTTTTTTTAAATTCCTCCTGCAGCTTTATTTTTTTTTTTTGCTAATTTGATTTCATGTCTTCTGGTTCCGCCTGTGGCCAGAGTAACAAAACTGTCTTTATCCAACTTCTCACATTCACCAGTTCTTGAAGGAATTAAGCTATAGTTCCAATGAACAAATTCACAAAGGCCGTGACCCTCGTCTGTTCATTTGATGCATCACACTATTGTGATGTCTGTGTGTTATAGTTCCAATCTATATAATACACTTCCAATTCCTTGTTAAATAAAATTTACATTTGCGTCAGGTATGGTATAAGCCTTGGCTACTTCCTCTTGTAATGCATTTCATCATTCACTGAAAAGTTGCACATGTGGGAAGTGGCAGCAGCAAAAAAGATGCCCAAACCCTAAGAATAATCAAGTGTATCTTTGACTTTAAGGAAAAAGTAGTAGTTATTCAACTGTATAAATTTCGGGTGCACCCCATTTGGATTATGGGATCTAAGGATGAAGACCTCATCTTCAGAAAGATATAGCTTCTTTGGAGAAAGTTCAACACTAGGCAACAAAAATCGTTCTAGAACGAAGACGACTCTCATACCTGGAATAGTTGAGGGCCACGGCTAACAACACTGCAAACCAGACATGACAGGGCTGATCTCATAGAAACTTTTAAAATACTGAACAATTTGAAGGATGTCGATCTAAACAACTTCTTAAAAAGATCAGGGGCCAGATTCATAAAAGCAATTACGCAAGCACTTACGAACGTGTACATCTTTCCTCAATCTTTGACGGCTTTGGTTACATTTATTAAACAGTTTACAAGCATAAAAACTTCCCATTCATGTTGTTATTATTATAAACAGCCTCCTGGTGTTTCGGAGCTCATTAACTGTTTAATAATATGAAACAAAGCCGCCAAAGATTGAGAAAAGATGTACAGGTGCATAACTGCTTTGCGAATGTGGCCCCAGATACATGGGTAATACAAACAAGGACCAACAGTTTCATTCTCAACAAGCCACAATATAGGACTGAAAACAGGAGAAGCTTTTACACCCACAGTTTTATAAACCCATGGAACTGCCTACCACCTGAAGTTGCCAGTGCCAAACCTCTGTTGAACTTTAAAATACAGCTTGAAAAAATCATCAGCATAAATGGGGAGACCTTTGACAATCCGCTGGCTGCCTGTCCTCGTCGAGTCCACTGGTGTGTTAGTGGCCTTCAGGTAAATTTGTGCCCAACTGCCCTGATCCCATCCCTTTTCAGCATGTTTTTATCCACCCTGCCAATGCTGCTAAGCAGCCTGAATTTTTGTTAACACATGCCAACATTTTGTGTGTGTATTGTGTGTATATGTATTCATGTATATACAGTACATTTATGTATTCATGTATATACAGTACATTTATGTATTCATGTATATACAGTACATTTATGTATACATGTGTGTAATTTTAATCAACAAAATGTATGAATCTCCAGCAAACTAAGAATACATTAGTTAAACTTAGTATTAAGAGCATAGGTGATCCCTATCAGTTCACACCCAAAGGTAGTTCCACCAATATTTATGTTACTAGTAAGTACTTCAAAAAGCACATCACATCTTATTTAATTAATGCAGGCACTATTAATGTTTTTACTATGAAATACTGTACCAATAAAATATGGTACTGTACTGTGTAATATCTCAAATGCTATACACTGCTTACAATCACTCTTGATATATGCATATTCTGACATTTTATATATAAAAATAAACTTGGGTAAGAAAACATATAGAAATTTTGATTATCTGTTTCAATGATTGCAACCTCCATGAGCTAAGGCAGGATGGAAGTGACCTTGCAAATTTAATTGCACCTGTGACATCCTGCTGAAAGGAATGTGGCCATTTGCATCCTCAAGGTCGGAGCTTTCCTAGAGCACCCAGCATCAATTATGAGCACGAGAGACAAAGACACACTACCTACATGCTGGCCAGTCAGTCCCCTCGGCCTACACCTACATCATGTAACCAACAGGACGGGAAACTAAAGTACGCGTGAGTACTAAATATATAAAACTATCTCGAGAAAATAATGCTATACTTGTATAACAATCAGGATTTTGGTTGTGTGGTTCTATACCTACTTGGCCATTGGAATAATTTGATATGTAAAGCTGTATTCACTTATAGTCACTATCACATTATTTCATTAAAACATGAACACCTTACCTTTACACACAGCATACATAACAGATAATGACATCTCAACTTTAAAATACAGTACAGTAAAGCGTTTAGTTCACATGGAATGCACGTATTATACTCTGCCAAGAGAAATTAGTACAATATTCTATAATTTATGCAATTACATTAAACAGATCATAAACATGAATTTATCTAATTGTCTGCAACTTTACATTCCAATTTTAGCTACTGTAGTTCAGTAATGCAGAGGTCAGTACCAAATCTAATCCACACTTAACCAAAACTATATTCTTGTATTTGTAGCACTTCAAGGTAAGTCCAGCAGTCCATAGTCTTCGTAAAGTTTTTGGGTCAAGTTGTATACAGAATTCATGGCTTCAATCACTTTGGGCATGAGGGCTTCATTATGTGCACGAATTGTTGTGTTGCCGCCAGTAATCTTTGAAAGAAAATGACATGTTATCCACACACAAAAAAAATAAATAAATAAATAAAAATAAACAAGAAATGTCTACATGTCCATGAAAATGCCTTGCCTATACATATACTGTACACCCATATGTGGTTTCCACTAAATTTGTGTAGGTTTGTATTTGTAAAATTATATATGAAAAGAAATGCATAAATAACTGAAGAAATACAGTACAAAGATTGTAATGAGAATCTGCTACCCTACCTCAAACCCGGTCACTGACAAATTGTAGTTTTCACTTCCACAAATACTGTACTAATTAATTAATACAAATCGAGTCCAATACAATACAATATTACAAAAATCCTTCAGTCTGGCTGTGATCCAGGTGCCGTTCACAACACACCACCACTTATATAACTCTCACCAACCAGGGTGCAATGATGACAAAGAACATTCCAACTGGTCTTATGTCATCTAGCTTGGAAGGGGCAACAAAAGGCAATGAAGCTGAAACTACTATTAAAGAAACAATTCAGTATGACACTAAGGAGCAGAATGATAACAATCAGCATTCCCTCTGAGAAATACATGGAAATAACTACAAGAACTGCATATTAGTTCTCTGCTAACTACCAGTTAACTAACCGGTCAATACTTCACAACTGCCACTTGATGGCAGCTGTACCTCCAAAACAGCAAAAGGAGAAAGCAATCCCTAAATATCACTTGTACCAGTTCTCCAGAAATCAATTCGGTTAATTTGAAATTCCCCGAGAATGTCATTTTCTTTGTAGGGGAATCTTTAGCTTTTGTAATTACCTAAGTGTAATTACAAAAGCTAAAGATTCCCCTACAAAGAAAATGACATTCTTGGGGATTCACTCTGTTCACTTCACAGTGCGCAGTAAAGTCCTTTGCATAATATGTTCTCTGCAGTTTTGTAGTTGCTTTTTGGGGAGTATATACATGCACATTCTCTGGTGTTTAATACGTCAGACCCCAGGATTGTGGGTTCCTGCCTACCAGGAAAACAAGGTAGGCAAAGTGCAAACCAAAACAGAATGAGGCACTTTGTCCTCTAGAGAAACTTCCTATTTTTAACTGGAAAGGAGTTTTATACAAAAGTTGCCCCGCGAGGGTACTGACATCTCCTTTCCCAATGCTCACAGCCCCACCCGCCAAACACACACCGAAACTACGACGTTGGTACAACGTTCGAACAAGTTTTAACACCTCCTAACCAGTTATAACAACAAATAGAGCAAGTTGTAACAACGTTTAAATACGTCATAAACACGTTAAGCCAAGATGTAACAACTTTATTACAAGTTGTAACAAGCGGAAAATAGAGACAGTTTCGTTTTGTGTTTCCAGGGCAGACACTCAATTATCCTAAAAGAGAATGGCTCTTAATGCAAGTAGATATAACACGTATGAGTGCATTAATTCCATGTGAAGCCCCTTTCATCTTGTTTCTTTCCCAGCAGCCAGTTTGATGTGGAAGACTTTGTTAGGTGCTACAAGGCACCTACCAATGAAGTGAAGCCTGCTGGGATAATAGTGAAATACTCCAGTGACATCTTCCCCCCCCCTCCCTCATCCCCATCTCCACTACCAAATTAGCTGCCTCCAAAGGGTACATAATAGAGACCAATCTAGTTAACGCATTTGCAATGGGGAAGTGGTGAGTATAATTTAGTATTTTGCAATACTGTATTGAGATAAGAAAATAACTAGTCTTTACAAGATCTTAGGAATGCATCACTAATTTTCTCATATACTTTATCTTTCAATATTATTTGTGCAATTTTCAAGAGTGACTCCCACACAAATTCTGGGCTTACTGTATATGAACAGATATGGTTGACATTATACTCTAAACTGAAAACAGCAACGGCATAAAATAATGAACTATATCACATAGTATCCTTCGTGATATCCCCTTCCAGAGGGCTTTACTTCTCAGGCCACTCTAATTCCTCTTGCTTAACATGTCATTCACATCTGGTTATATTCTACTGATAATGCTTTGCTTTTAGATCACCCTACATTTTATGGTTTTATATACAGCATAAATAAAACGAATATACAATATAACTTCAGCGGAGTGAAATCATTCACACACAAATACCAGTCCAGGCACATCAAATTATGGAGTCCTCTACCCACTTGTTACTGTACTACTATCCTATAGGCTCCTGCATGGAAAGTCTATAAATTACAGGAAATTAATTTTTTTAACTATCTTTCCTTACTCGTGAAACTTATGCCTTGTTATATCATATAATGTACCTGTACTCATTGAGATGCAGCTGCATCTGCCTATCAAATATCTGCCAGGAAATATTTGTAAAAAGAAAGAAAGCAAGAAAGAGAAAGAAAGACAGAGTGGGTGAGTGAGTGAGTAAAGCTTATTTACTAAATCAGCAGCAAACTGATGATAACCAGACACAGTATTAGTGCACTTCACATTGCAATCCCACATTCATCACTCCACCATTCACTGTGGTCTCTATCTCCAAGCTGAGCAAACAAACCATCTAAGCTCAAAATTGCACTATGAAGTTTTTGCCGAAACCAGGTGCACAGTGCAGTGGTTAATGATGTGAAAATGTTTACAATAATTTTGTTTTCTAGGTTATTTGATGGGTTAAACTATAAATTTGATGTCAAATTGTATTTATAATAGATTTATGCACGACAGCGCTGCAAATACGAATGATTATGCATAGCAATTGAACGACACGTTTTAGTGTCATCAGAACATTTAATGTCAAAGTACGGATGATGCATTTTAGTGTCATCAGAACTCAAAAATGTTCCAATGACACTAAACAGTAATAAAGCAACAATAACATGTTTTGGCAAACTCTGAAAGTCTGGCATCTTACTCAGACTGTGAAATCATATGAGAAAGCTACAACACTAAAATGTTAAAAAACAAAATTCTATGGCATGAGAGACATGCCTTTCATTAACCTGCAAACTACCCAAACCACTTACCGGCTTACTTCCGAGTACGACCTGTTGATAAAACAAGGGGAAAGTTCAAATAGCACAAATTTTTAGGTAAGAATAGTCGCAGAAATCTCTAAAAATACAATCACTAGGTATCCATGATACGATAAACAAATAAAAAAAGAGAGAGATTATTGGGGGTTTGTTTTGGTCCTCTCCCATTTTAAACTAGTGCTCATACCTTGCGGTCAAGGATCAATTTTGCCGCAGCCCGGTCTCTAACCAGGCCTCCTTGTTGGTGGTCTGGTCCACCAGACTGTTGGATGCAGATGCTCGCAGCCCAATGTATGACTCATAGTCTGGTGTTTCAAGTACCCTTTTGGAGGTGTTTATCACGTTCTCTTCTGAACATTATGAGAGGTTGACCACTTATGCCCCTTTATGTTTAGCAGGACATTGTTGAAGTCTTGGGTCTTTGAGGTTGATTGTGCTCTCTATTAGCGTACCTATTGCATCTTGGCTTAAGATACTGCATCTCCAAGCTCAAGATACAGTATGTTATTGCAAGTAGTAAACTGGTTGTCTTTGGTTCCACATGGCATCACTAGCATTGTACCTGCCCCATTGAAGGCATTACCTTTGGAAACATTCATACTAATGCCATGTGCTAGTCTCTCAACTGTTTTCATCACCACTTGGCTCCCTTAACATATACTATTTTTCAGTTCAATCTTTTTTGTTTATGTCACCATAGATATATGGATGCTTGTATATTGAAGTTTGATTAGGAGTGGTGATCTTGGTTTGAATGTTGGTACAGATGGGGAGAGGGGATTTAGATGAATGTGTGGGTATGGATGGTATGGGCATTTGGTGGGTGGGCAGGGTTGGTGCTAGCAGGAATGTGAGAGGATGTAAGGGTGCAGGTGGTGCAGGCACATGATGACGGGTTGGCATATGGCTGGTGGTGGTTACTCGTGTATGGGATATGAATTTGGGTGTAGTGTGTTTGGTTGGAGTTTGAATGTGGATGAAGGTGTGGGTAGTATGAGCTCATGTTGGGTGGAGGAATGATACTACACAAGTATTTTAGGTTTCAAGTACTGTAATATACAATGAGATATTTTGTAAAGGAAAACAAAAATAATCTATATTAAAATAGTTGCAATTGGGATAATCTGCAAAATGTCAATAAAAAATAGACAGAATATGTAAATAACCTGAGTCAGATGCAGTTGTAGAATTTGTGTGACTGCAATTGATCAGTCTACTGTGTGTAGAAATAAGTATTTATTATTATAATATATTTTATCTTGTCATGTAATTATATCACTCTGCATTTCACCTATACGACAGCAAAAACCAGACATTCCAGACATGTCTGGGATACTCTATCAGTCACCCTCCACCCAGCTCTGAACCCCCAGCCAGGTGCACCTGCCGGCATCCGACATCAAGCTCGTCACCTGTAGCTAACTAGCAGTTACGCTGCCGGCCTCCCATTCCAGACCTCGGTGACAAAGGCTGTGACGTCACCAGCAGGGGGTATATAAACTCCTGACCCCACACACCTGTCAGTCTCTTCTGGTGCTCTGGGATCAACACTCAGCCTTCACTCGTCGTTTGCTTCCGGCTTTGTCGTGTGCAATTGTTGGTGTTGATTATACATACAGTATCGACAGTTCACCTTCAATTTGTATTTTTTCATTCTTGTGTTTTGTCATATGATCAAGTATTTTCAGGTATCATTTTTTCACTTTTATTAATGTTTAAGATTATAGTAAACTTTGTTAATTTTTATTTGATTATTCTTTCTATCCTGTGCAATTTTCACACTGCCAAGGGCCAAAACAGCACTTTTTCTTTGATGAGAAGTGAGAGCCACATTACACCTGCCCAGTATAGCTGCAATACTGTTTCACGTCACAATCTGTTAATGTGTCTGTGTTATTCCATTTTCTACTTATTTATTTGCCCATCTTGAACCTAACTAGCCATTACTACTGATGATTTCAAAATCTAATAAACTAAGGCATAAATATTAATGTAAAATACTGTACCTATGAACTTATTATTTGCGATGGAGAGGCAACAGGTCACTTCTCCTTTCTCACCACCAATGAATGTCACATTACACTCACTGGTGTCTCGGCCTTAATAATGCAACTCTAATGGAACAATTCTCCATGATAAAGGTTATGACGCAGTGGATGATGTACACATCACCCAGTCAGTCAGACTAAGCAATGCTGGGTTTTGCCAGTTACTGGGTGGGTGATCAGGCAGTCAGCCTCACTTTTGGAAGTGGGCGGGGGTTGCCTTTGATAAGCCTGTTAGGTTTCCTTTCTCCAACAATAGTATACCAAAATACCAGAATTAACCAAAGGGAAGCCATTTCACATCTTTAACTTGGGTAGTATTTATAATAGTTCTGAATAAGTGTCATTTCTTAATATGAAGAGATTCAAAGTTTGGCTAACAGACCAGCCGAAAGTTTAATTTTTGTGTTTAAAGTTTAAGCATTAAGACCTGCAGTTATGTTAAGAAGAAGATACACTGGGATAAAAACTTACCCGTTCAATTATGGTTTGCTTATTTGGCATCATAAAGAGAAGAGCACTTGCCGTTTTGGCCAGAACCCAGTTATGGTATTTGGCCAGCGTGCGCCCGTACAACTCGGAGGCTGTGCTACCCAATCCACTCTCATCTGAGGCTTTGTGAATTTCAGAAAAAAAACCAGCAATGAACTCTGAAATGAAAAGTATTTATTGATAGCATTTTAATCAAGAACATACATGTCCCTCAATAAGTTGAATGTAATGAAACTCCATTTTCTGGGTGAGACCCAGAGGCTCCCCGGAGCTATACCAGGCTGATGTGTATATATCAGACTGTGGCAACAGTCAATCAATGGAGTTCTAGCTTACCAGGTACCACTAGCCAGAACCTGGCCCCCTCAGAGAGGCACGAGGAGCAATGGCCTATAGACACCCCCCATGTAGTTGGAAGCAGTCTATGTCTGCCATTTCCCAGGTCAATCACCCAGAAAGGCAGGAATTCCAAAACAAACTACAGCTGGTTAAAAATTGCAAACTGAAAGCTGAACGAGCAGGCAGAACTCCCCAAACAGAAAACAAGCAAACAAGCATGACGTCACAACAGCCGCCATGCCGCTGTCTGCGCAGCTCCCCCTCTCCCTGGGAGGACAAAGAGTGAGCCCCAGACCCCTTGCACCGGCTACCCAATCCCAGTTCCGAGGCTGAATATCAAAAACACAAAAAACTGCTGACCAGAGGGAGGGAGGGATGCCGGGGAGCTGCTGGGTCTCACCCAGAAAATGGTGTTTCATTACATTTAACACTGCTTTTCTGTGCAGAACCCCTCCGGCTCCCTGGAGCTACCTAACCAAAGATAAAGTAAAAAGAGGAACTTACCCGGGAGGCGGCCGCCACTCACTCCTCAACTCGAAGTCGAGACAACTGGCCGCACCCTGCTACCCAAAGCTACACATGCCCGAGAGGGGCCAAAAACATGAACTAGGTACCATGCGGCCAGGACCCTGTTCGATCTCCAAAAACCCCATGCCCGAATGTCAGCCAAAGACATAGTACCAAAAACAGCAGACAAAGCGGCAAACTTTTGAACGTCGTGGCCACGGGGATAGACCGCAGGCTGGCTGGACCAAACAATCCTCTGGACGACCTGGAAAACCTGCGTCCCGGAACAGGGAAGAAGGAAAATCTGGTCAACCCAAAGCGCATCCCCTGCCATGGAGGCCGTGGCACGCAAGTAACAGCGAAAAGCTGCAACCAGACAGAAAACATGATGCACCCCCGGCCAAACCAACTAAGCATCAACAACCCAAGGACCCCTCCGGAAAGCAGTAGTCTCATTCTTCACGGGATAAAAAAGGAGACAGCTGCAAACAAACAAACCGACCACCAGGACCAAAAGAGCAGAAACCCCTGTACCGGAGGAGAGCATGAAGCTCCCCAACCCGACCCCCAGAGGTTATCAACAAGAAAAATCTTAGAAAAACAGTCCTGAACCAAAGGGGTCACTACAAACCGAGGAGAAGAGAGCATTCGATCCAACGACCAGGATGGCTCAGGCGGCGTATGAGCAGACCGGAGCTGAAACAACGCCTGAGAAAGCTTGCAGAATGGAGCAGAAGTGACATCCGCCCCCGAATGCAAGCTGTGGCTCCACCAGCGCCGAATGATACGAGACAATATATTCAGCATAAGATGACGGTCCTGAAACAACCAAGAGAGAAAGGGGAAAACACCCCGATCCGAAATCGAAGACAACCTATGAAGAGATAAAAAGTGCCGAAAGGACCGCCAGGAAACTTCATACTGCTGCCAAGATGAAACCAGCAGGTGAGACACCATCAACGAAGCCACCTGATCACCATACAAGTGGTGATAACCCCGTGTCAAAAAGACCAGACACGAAGATCAAAGAAGATTGAACCAGCCACGTACCGGACCGGACCGATCTGCTGAAAGAGACGGAGCCGCGGGAAGACCCTCAGGTTCGGACACCAAGCAAGCAGCACCTAAAACCAAGGCTGGGTAGGATAGTGGTCACTTGTTTTGTCAGTGATTATACCAGATGCAAGGGGAGCTGTTATGTTAGTCCATATGTGGTCCAAGGTAGTAGAGGATGTTTGAGTGCTTCGGGTGGGCTTGGTGATTGTGGGGATTAGCATACAGGAGTTCATGCTCTTTAGGAAATAGTTGACTTGAGGGCTATTTTGTTGACAGGTCAATATTGAAGTCACCTCCTAGAATGATGTGATTTTTGTTGAGCTTGTTGTTTATGATTAGATTCCTTAGGTTATCTGAAAATGCAGTTGTATTAGTATTGGGAAATCTATTGATAGCTCCAATAATCAGAGAGGATTTAAGGGATTTAATCGAGAATTGAGCAAAGGTATATTCACATTAGTCGTCTCTCACTAATGACACTAGTGCAAATGAAGATATTTTGGTAATAGATAGCTATGCCACCTCTTTTTTTTTTATTTGCCCTACAATGTGAATGGCTTTATAACCAGTTAAGTTGTAAAGTTGGGTATGGTCTTTACTTAGCCATGTTCCTGTTAAAATAATGAACGGTAGTTTAGTACCTAGTTCTGTGAGTAGTGCATTTGTATCATTAAAATGTATACAGAGTTATCCGACATTTAGGTTAAATACTGATAGGCAAGTGTTATTTTGAAGTTTGTTTTTTGCAAGGTTTGCTGTGTAGTACCTGCAGTATTGATGATCAATATGCTGGTTATTGTAGATTTATGACACAAGATTTAGTTCAGGATCAATGTCGGCTTGCATGCAGATACAATGTAGTCAGGATACAGTAAAGTAAGCCATTACAAAACAGTAAAATATTAAATCTGCTGTAAATCTAACTTTACAAATAATAAACAATAACAATATTATTTTCCTCATAATATTGTCTTAAAATTCAATATAGAAAACAATCCAAGTAGAGTCCACCATAGTAGTTCCTCACCAAGTCCTCTGTGGAGTCGCAATAAAGTTCTCGACCCAGACTGTTGGTCGCTGCTCGTCAGGATGTTGTTTTCTCTTTCGTATTCAATCATGGACTGAATTGAGTAGTAGTAGTCTCCTGCTCCACCTTTGCAATAACACTGAAGAATTGTTACCTGTTAAATAGAAATCTTTATCACCAGATGCTACAGTAGTAAAAATAAACATTAAAAATTTTAATAATATATTTTGCTAGAATTATAGTTTATCACAATTCTCAGGATACATATTTTGGGGTGCCACTGCATTTAACCCACCGTAGACAACTCAAGTCATGCTCTGTAAGATTATCATCATTCATAGACCTCTCTATGTTATATAACATACTGAATGGGCTTTTTCAAACTTGCTTACACTTGTAGCAACTATGCCATACTATTTTAATAAATACTCCCTAAATCGTGTCTCCAAATAGCAAATATCGACTCATCCCTTTCTAACAGTGCAATAGAAGATTACCAATATCCAAGAATCACACATTTTGAATGTGCATATATGCCTTAAGAAATTAAAAAAAAAAAAAGCGTTGAATGTAATGAAATGCCATTTTCTGGGTGAGCCCCAGAGGCTCCCTGGAGCTATTGGGCTGATTTGCGATATATTAGACCGGGGCATCAGTCGATGGAGTTCAGCCTACCAAGACCACAAGCCAAAACCTGGGCCCCCCCTCCGAGAGGCAAAGGGAGCAATGGCCTATAGAAACCCCCATGTGGTTGGGAGCATTCCATGTCTGCCATTGACTGGGGTTGGCACCTAGAAAGGTAGGCATAACAAAACAAACCCCACTTTATATGAAAAAGCAACCGAAAACTGAACAGGGAGGCAGAACTCCCCTTACAACTTAAGTAAAGAAGCTAACAAGCAAATGTCACACCTCACTGCTGTGTTGCCTGTCTGGAGGGGGGTGGGAGCCCAGTAACCCCTGTGCCTGCTACCCAAGCCATACAGTTCGGAGGCTGAGCATCAAAAAGAAAATGAAACCGCCATCCGGAGGGAAGGAGGGAGGGTTGCCAGGGAGGCTCGCCCAGAAAATGGTGTTTCATTACATTTAACGCAGGTTTTCTGAGGGAAGCCCCTACGGCTCCCTGGAGCTACATCACCAAAGATAAGGAAAATAGGGACTTACCCGGAAGGTGGACGACACTTGCTCCTCAACTCGAAGTCAAGACAACTGGCTGCAATCTGCCACCCAAAGCCACACACGGATGACTAGGACCAGAAACAGTGACAAGATAATGTGCGCCCAGGACCCTGTTTGACCTCCAAAATCCCTACGCCCGAATGTCAGCTCAGGACATATTGCCGAAGACGGCAGCCAAAGCAGCAAACTTCCGAATATCATGGGCACAAGGATCGATCGCAGGCTGGCTAAAATTAATAACCCTGCGGACAATCTGGGAGACCCCGAGCCCTGGAACAGGGAATGTGGGAAACCGGATCAACCCACGGTGCATCCCCGGCCATAGAAGCCAAGGCGTGCAGTTAACGGCGAAGAGCCGCTACCGGACACAACACATGATGTACCCCCAGCCTGACCAATCAAGCATCAATAACCCAAGGGTCCCTCTGGAAAGCAGCCGTCTTGTTCTTTGCCAGAAAAGAAGTGGACGGCTGCAACCAAGCAAACCTACCACCAGGACCGAAGGAGCAGAAACCCCTGCGCTGGAGGAGAGCATGAAGATCCCCACACGACCCCCAGAGGCCAATACCAACAGAAAAAGAGCTATTGAGAGACAGTCCTGAACCGAAAATGCCACCAAGAACCGAGGAGAAGGGAGATAAAAGAGCAGCCAGTCTAAGAACCAGGACAGCTCAGGCGGTGCATTAATAGGCCAGAGGTGAAACAAAGCACCAGAAGGCTTACGGAATGGGGCGGAAGAGACGTCCACCCCGACTACACGCTGAAGCAGCTCCGCCAGCAGCGCACAATACGAGGAGACAGTATTAGGCATTAAATGACGGTCCTAACACAGCCAAGAGAGAAAGGACAAAACAACTCGATCAGAAATAGAGGACAACCTACGAAGAGAAAGAAAATGGCAGAAAGAATATCAGGAAACCTCATACTGTCGCCGAGAAGAAGCCTGCAAGTGGGACACCATCAATGAAGCCACCTGATCACCATACAAATGGTGATAGACCCGCGTCAAAAAGATCAGACGCAAAGAGCGGAAGAGAAGACAGAACCAGCCAGGTACCTGACCGGACCGATCTGCTGAAAGAGGCGGAACCGCAGAAAACACCTTGGGTTCTGACACCGAGCAAGCAGCGCCTAAAACCAAAGCTGGGCCGGCCTTTTTGATGTTCAGCCTCCGAACTGGATGGTTTGGGTAGCTGGTGCAGGGGGGTCCTGGGCTTCCCCCTTCCAGGGAAGAAGGGGAAGCTCTCCACCCCTGCAGCTCTCCAGGGGTGGAGAGCTGCACGGTTGTTCACCACCGTTCATGGCCGGTGGCGAGATGTGACGTTTGCATGTTAGCTTGTTTTCTCAAGTTGTAGAGGGGAGTTCTGCCTCCACGTTTGATTTTTTGGTCGCTTTTTCTTACCAAGTGGGGGTTGTTTTGTTATGCCTGCCCTTTTAGGTACCAACCCTGTTTGATGCTAGACATGGAATGCACCCAACCACATGGGAGTTTCTATAGGCAATTGCTCCCTTTGCCTCTCTGAGGGGGGCCAGGTTCTGGCTCGTGGTCTCGGTAAGCTGAACTCCATTGACTGATGCCCCGGTATAATATATTGCATATCAGCCCGATAGCTACAGGGAGCAGTAGGGGCTCCCATCAGAAAAATAATTTAAATAAGTATTTATTAAGTAGTGTCTATGAATACAGCAATTATAGACCATTCTGGTATACAGTGGTAATTAACAAGGAGGTGCCAGACAACAATATTACAAAACTTGAGTTTTCTTTAACAGCTGCACAGATACATACCATCAAACATTGAGGACCCTCACTTAAAACCTCTTAACTTTAGTTGTTACACTCTAATACCATCCCCCCCATCCCTTAAGTACACTGAATGGTTATAAATAATGTACAACAATTTGTAAAGCAACCAGTGGCATGCAGCCAAGAGTATTTTACAAAATAAAACAATAAATAATAATTAATAATAATAATTATTTAGCATCTAATGCAAACTACTTTATCTTTGACTCTTCATACAATCTTACCTTTTTCTGAATATCGTGAGACACAAAGTTGAAAACTGTTCCCAGGATCTTCAAGAATCTGTGGAAGTAAAATAAAACTTGTTCAGCAAAAAAAGCAAACATGCTCAACTACCAGTGATATACCCTACAGATCAAGGTGTTAACAGGATATCCTGCCAACATGCCAGCCTTCCTTATTATGCTTTTATGGCTCATGTGGTAGGATTTCTTGCTTTCTTTTTAAGAGTAAAAAACCTTGTGAAAACCTTGTGGAAACCTTGTGAAAACCTTGACTGCTTTACTTTTATGTATAATGCCATAACCATTTACCATTCTTATTTGACTCGACTACATGGGCTATAAAGATGTCACCATGCACCATGTATATTGTGTAGTATTAAACCCATAAAATTATAATATTAAAATAATTTATGTTCAAATCCATACACTGAGCTGAATACACAGAGTACAAGTGCAGTGAATTATGTCCATAAAACTGTATTAACTTACGTATATACCCAGCATAAAGCCTGGAGGCATCTTTTTAGGGGCAGGTTTATATCATGGTGGTAGTTTTATTTCCTAATTTTGTCCATTACCAAAATTCTTCCTGAAACATACCTTTCTTAAACAGCAATTTTATAACAAAAACAATGAAGAATATAAGATTAACTTGGCTCTAATGTGACAAAAATACTGTTTTATCATACTTGTTCACTTCACTATAAGCACGCAGGTATCCATCCAGGTAGAGCTGTCCATCTTCTCCTTTACACTGTGTGAACCCATCCAGGACCATCTGTAGATCAAAGTTAAGATCTTGTGTGGTAATTTCCATTGGACTCCTGTTCTCTTCCAATGGACTCCTGTTCTCTTCTCTTGGTGTTTCTACTGCTGCTACTGCCCCTTCTATCTGGCAGTTGACCAGGCAGCTGGCTTCATTGGGCTGCTGCTGCTGTTCCACTGGTGGTGGAATGGCTGACATTTTGGTCTCAGGATGAAGGTATCCTGCAGTACAACAAAATATAAAGGATATGCTCAAAACTGCTGTATACAAATCTAAAAGAACATCATATTTGATGTATAAATTCCATCACTGAAGACTTAAATTAAACTTCAAAAAGACCAAGACAGCTTCTTATACTGTATTATTATTTCCCCAAGATGCTAACAAGTGTGAAAGGGAATACAAAGGGTGTTTTCTCTCTCCTACTAACATACTTTTTATATTTTTCTTAGTAGCATTTGAATTAAAAAATTGTTAGATTAATTACAAGTACTCATGTGCTTCATTTATCTACTGTGCCATGGGGCTTGGGTCATTTCAAATGTTAAAGCCTAGTGGTCGGTACTCCGGACACCAGACTGTCTAAGATTTTTGTTATTGGTTATGGTATATAACGTTATTTCCCAGCCCTCCTGAAGGTGGTCTCCAGCTGGTATACACAAAGCTACATCTTCCAGCTGGTGTAGCCCAATGCTATGAACCAAATCCTGCAGCTGGTGTAGCCCAAGGCTACAACCTACAGCTGGTGTACCTCCAGGTTATGACCTACAACCTACAGCTGGTGTACCTCCAGGTTATGACCTACAACCTACAGCTGGTGTACCTCCAGGTTATGACCTACAACCTACAGCTGGTGTACCTCCAGGTTATGACCTACAACCTCTGGCTGGTGTAGCACCATAGCCACAAGCTACACAAGCAGGGGGGGCTGGTGTAGCCACAGCCACGGTCTACACTCTCCAGCCTGTGTGTGTTAAGGCCTCGTGTTACAACACCTGACAAGTGTTGCTGAAGGTCACGGCCAAGGGCTACACCTTAAGACACTGCTCGTCTCCAGCCTCATCTTCCAGCACAGCCTTCTCACAACTCTACTGGCGTTATGTAACTTGGTTAACACCATAGACGCCAATCGGAAAATTGATTACTGCCATCATGTTTGGGAAATATTTGAAAGAAAAAACACAAAATAGATCAAATTTAGGTATATTGTTTTGACCCAGGCGCGCCCCACTGATCTACTTCAAGTGGCGGCTGATGTCTTCCGTCATTATGGGCTGGTTATCCTCTGTGAGGCGATGTCTCGTCCCTCAGACCAGCTCCGGGGACAACGGGTGTCCCTCGCAGGTCTAGACACAACCCAAGACAACATAACCTGAGCAAACAATCTTAATAAACACTTACTGACGGGTCCTCGACGGGCGGTCAACGTCACCCTCGCATCGAGAGTACAGACACACACACACACAACATGCTACCTAAAATGCATTCAAAATAACTCCATATTTAACTTTCTTTTTATGAATAAAAATAAATATCAAATTAAAGTATGAAATTAACTTAACATCAATTAGCTTTCAAGTTAAAAAAAAATCAAGTTTCTAATAATCAACGAACATTTCCATTCTTGCACCTACATGATGGCCACAACATAAACATCAACATTCCTATCATTATAAAATAAACATTGAGTGAATTATGACTCCTGGTTCACCCTAGACGACGAGTGCACGTCAGGACACCTGTGCTCTACCCAGGGGGCGCCGACCCCCCAGTACGTCACGAGATTTTGACCATTTGGGCCTCAACCTTGCCGTCCAGCATTGCTGTCAACAGCACCAATTGCTGCTGCTACGTCGCAAATCTAGGGAAATAGATTGTTAATTATATAACCATGAATTAATGTTGATTTAACATTACTGGAGCGTGCTTTGCTCAGCTTGCGCACTCCATATCGTCTGGGGGTTAGGCGGAATATAGATTTTTGTTAAGTTTTCCGATTAGATCTATGAGCCGGGTGATAGTCCGCCACCAGGACATGGTTGCAAACTTAAGACACATGGTTTATAACCGTTACAAGACTTTTAGGGATAAAGCTGTGCTACATCGCACAGCTTTAGTATGTACAACTATATTCAGCTTTGAATGTACAACTTCCCGGCTTGGTGCCTTCTTTGATAATTACTTACTGGTCTCCTAGTGAGAGCTGAGCGCTGGTATCCTAGTGAGAGGTTAGTGCTGGTTTCCTAGTGGGAGCTGAGTGCTGATCTGCTAGTGAGAGCTGAGCGCTGGTATCCTAGTGGGAACTAAGTGCTGATCTGCTAGTGAGAGCTGAGCGCTGGTATCCTAGTGGGAACTAAGTGCTGATCTGCTAGTGAGAGCTGAGCGCTGGTATCCTAGTGGGAACTAAGTGCTGATCTGCTAGTGAGAGCTGAGCGCTGGTATCCTAGTGATGAACTAAGTGCTGATCTGCTAGTGAGCGCTGGCAGGATGTTTACCAGTAGTGATCAGCAGTCTTGTGCAGCTTCCGACCCTCTGATAATTGGTCATCTGACTTTTTTAAATGCTGAAGGCGATTTTCAGCTTCACTTACACCTCTCGAAAGTTGGTACATGTAGAATTTTCCCACACAGGCGAATCATTTACATATAGAATGTTCCCCACACAGTCAGATGGACCAGGTACATGTAGAATGTTCCCCACACAGTCAGATGGACCAGGTACATGTAGAATGTTCCCCACACAGTCAGATGGACCAGGTACATGTAGAATGTTCCCCACACAGTCAGATGGACCAGGTACATGTAGAATGTTCCCCACACAGTCAGATGGACCAGGTACATGTAGAATTTCCCCACACAGTCAGATGGACCAGGTACATGTAGAATGAACAAATCCACAAGGGCCGTGACGAGGATTCTGTAGCAAGTACAAACAATATACTCACTACAGTCTCTCATTATCTTAATGGCATAACTAATAAACACTAACTACACAAGCTATGATCCTGTCCCTATTTACAGGTAACATTCTTTCCATCCTGGTTGGAGGAATTCAATTTCTTTCTTTATTATGCACCCCATACCCATCCCGTGGACGGTGGTGTAAAGGGTTACAGAGGCACATAATCGGTTCAGGAACTGAACCCTTTAATTCGTTTAGCTAAGCAAATAAAAATTTGATGGTGTTATCTCTAAATTCCGCGATTTTTTTCACATTCCATTATATAATGACGCAAAGTATGCGAACAGTTCTGCTGACAGAGTTTACATTTAGTCAAATCTACATCAGCAGATGTTACAAACTCCCAGAGGTACTTGTAGCCAAGCCTAAGCTTAGCAGTGGTAACATTTAGAAGTCTGCTAGCATTATTGGATGACCTATAGACGTGCGGTTCTTCCTGCATAATAGAATGATGATAGATGGAGTAACTGGTGTGAATTTCACTTTGCCTCAAGTCTCCGAAATATAATTGATGTTTCTGGGATATTGCTGCCCTTAGGCTGCTCAAAGGCAGTCCAAGTTGGTAATCAATTCCCTCTTTACGAGCAAAAGTCTTGGCTCTATCATCAGTTCTATCATGCATTCAGAGACCAATATGGGAAAGAATCCACAGGAGACAAACTCTGACTCCATCATTGATTATTTCAATATATCTGTGTCTAGCTTCAGAGATAAGCTGAGGTGTAGCCACCGAATATAAGCAAGCGAATAGTCGACAGGACAATTTCCACAGTCAAGAATGTGGCGTAGGTAGTTCTAATCGACCCAAAGACGCTACAGCTTCGACACAGAACAGACAGCAGACTACGACCGCATCGAGCTACAACGTTCTCGCTCCCCGAGTTCAGACACTCACAATTCCCCATGGAGCCGTCACGCTCTCACACATAGAGCTCCGCGACTCCGGCCTCACTCAGCTCTCTGATCTGCTCCAAGCTCCGTCTGAAAGTCTACGACAATGCCACCAACCGACTACTGTAATCAAGACTACTAAACAAATATGAAACTCACCAAACACTGTGTATCTAATCTACCCAACAAAGTAACATAATCTTACGTTACAATTCGAACCTATGTCCGAGAGCATCACAGACGCTGCCTTAATAGATTGAGCAACGACATGGTCAAAAGAGTTGAAACCAGAAGTTCTACTGAACTTACTTGGATCCTGCAGCCTCTCCGAGACACAAACCAGGGTTTTACACAACTCCCCCCATGCACTCGAGCTATGTCAATAGGCCATTCTACCTCTTCGTCCTTACTTCATTACACACAGAAATCACAATAGCGTATGCATCAAATGAAAAAATGTTCATATTTGTTCATTTGATGCATACGCTATTGTGATTTCTGGGTGTACGTATAGAATGTTCCCCACACAGTCAGATGAACCAGGTACATGAAGAATGTTCCCCACACAGTCAGATGAACCAGGTACATGAAGAATGTTCCCCACACAGTCAGATGAACCAGGTACATGAAGAATGTTCCCCACACAGTCAGGTGAACCAGGTACATGAAGAATGTTCCCCACACAGTCAGGTGAACCAGGTACATGAAGAATGCTCCCCAGAGACCAGGGTAGCAGCAGCAGCAGCAGCAAGAGACACACTCGGACCTTTATCTCCTGCCAAATACCTGTGACTGGCCAGGTATTATGGGTTCAGGCTAAGTATCTTTCACCAGACGCAACACAATGAGGCTTTCATTGCTTATATCTCTTAATTTACACTCTTAAATGTCTACTATGTTAATTTGTTATTATTTACAGTAACATTGATCATCTTCATCTGTATTACACACAGATAGATTTCTTTCAGCTTAACATCTAATACATAATAATAAATAATAGGCTTCCTCAGCTTGACATGATATATGTAACGTGGAAGCTTGACATCAAATATGTCATTAAATTCCTTACGATTACATTATATATATAATGTTGTGGTTTCCCACACATCTGTTAAGGTTCCCACACATCTGTTAAGGGTCCCACACATCTGTTAAGGTTCCCACACATCTGTTAAGGTTCCCACACATCTGTTAAGGTTCCCACACATCTGTTAAGGGTCCCACACATCTGTTAAGGTTCCCACACATCTGTTAAGGTTCCCACACATCTGTTAAGGTTCCCACACATCTGTTAAGGGTCCTATACATCTGTTATGATTTCCACACCTGCTATGGTTCCCATTCATCAGGTATATTTCCCCAGCATATCGCATAATTTCTACACACTTGGTATGACTGATAGGCATCATGTATGGCGCGGATATACTAGGCATGATATCTATACCAGTAGTGTCTGCTATAGCAAACCTTTCTTTCTCAATATTCTCAGCGCGCGAGACGCAAATTGTTTCACCTGTTATTTGTTTAGAATAATAATAATAATAATAATAATAATAATAATAATAATAATAATAATAATAATAATAATAATAATAATAGTAATAATAATAATAATTTTTATTTGTATACAGTACATTTGAAATATGATATTGTGGAGCACTCGTTTATAGGTACCCAATTAATGCAATTTATAATTATATATATATACAGTCACTGATACGCACAGCGTATATATATATATATATATATATATATATATATATATATATATATATATATATATATATATATATATATATATATATATATATATATATATTTTTACTTTGTTGGTTGCCTTGTACTCACCCCTAATTGTGCTTGCGGGGGTTGAGCTCTGGCTCTTTGGTCCCGCCTCTCAACTGTCAGTCAACCGGTGTACAAATTCCTGATCGTGGATGTTCGTGTGTGTGTGTGTGTGTACAAATGTGTGTGTGTGTGTGTGTGTGTGTGTGTGTGTGTGTGTGTGTGTGTTACTTTGTTTTTCAGTGCTGTTGTTCTTGTTACGTGTTGCCGTGGGTGTTAGTTCGCAGGTGTTGATGTTCTTGTGCTTCTTAGTGACACGTGTGTTGATGTGATGACGCAGGTGTTGATGCTCTTATGTTTCGTGTCTTTGTTTCTTCAGAAGCATGTGTTGTAGTGCTTCTAGGTGATGCTTGTTGGAGCTCTTATATTTTCAATCATATTTGCATGTAATATCATTGTATTTGTAACTCACAGACTTCACATTGCTATTTCTGCACTTGTAGAATTTGTAATTGTTGTTGTTGATGTATTTGCTGTTGAATTTTCTTCGGATGGTTGAGGTCTTGTATTGTTTTCTCCTGTGGTTGCCAGTTCTTTGTAAATTCTGCAATTATCTTCTGTTGTTGCTGAATGTTGTGTTGCTGATGCATGTTCTGGTGTTGTTGAGGATTAAGTTGCTTAGTGCCAGGTGTGCCCCTTCTCTCCTGTTCTCTCAGCAGCAGCTGCTGTAGCTGCTGCTGAAGACCGTCCGGCAGAGTGGAAAACCTGCTTTTCCTCTCAGAGTGCGACAGGTCGACAGGCCCAACCTCCATTTGCCAGGGCCCCGCGTCGTGGCTCTTCCCTAGCTCGCTGGGTTTGGTCCTGGGATAATAGTGCTGGGGACCAGGCTCCCGGTGTCTAGGAGAGCTCAGTTCAAAATGAAGAGCCGGGACGTCTTGGTACTGCCGCGACGCCGGGTCGAGGCGGTCCTGGTACTGCCGCGACGCCGGGTCGAGGCGGTCCTGGTACTGCCGCGACGCCGGGTCGAGGCGGTCCTGGTACTCGTCGACGACCACCCCCGGCCTGCTGGCGACGGTCGGCTCGCACGGCAGCACCACGTATGTTCCAGGGAATACACGCACGCTGGGGAAATATACACAAACCTTAGTATGAGGTGCTCTGGTATAGTGTGAGGTGCTCTGGTATAGTGTGAGGTGCTCTGGTATAGTGTGAGGTGCTCTGGTATAGTGTGAGGTGCTCTGGTATAGTGTGAGGTGCTCTGGTATAGTGTGAGGTGCTCTGGTATAGTGTGAGGTGCTCTGGTATAGTGAGGTGCTCTGGTATAGTGTGAGGTGCTCTGGTATAGTGTGAGGTGCTCTGGTATAGTGTGAGGTGCTGGTATAGTGTGAGGTGCTCTGGTATAGTGTGAGGTGCTCTGGTATAGTGTGAGGTGCTCTGGTATAGTGTGAGGTGCTGGTATAGTGTGAGGTGCTGGTATAGTGTGAGGTGCTCTGGTATAGTGTGAGGTGCTCTGGTATAGTGTGAGGTGCTCTGGTATAGTGTGAGGTGCTCTGGTATAGTGTGAGGTGCTCTGGTATAGTGTGAGGTGCTCTGGTATAGTGTGAGGTGCTCTGGTATAGTGTGAGGTGCTCTGGTATAGTGTGAGGTGCTCTGGTATAGTGTGAGGTGCTCTGGTATAGTGTGAGGTGCTCTGGTATAGTGTGAGGTGCTCTGGTATAGTGTGAGGTGCTCTGGTATAGTGTGAGGTGCTCTGGTATAGTGTGAGGTGCTCTGGTATAGTGTGAGGTGCTCTGGTATAGTGTGAGGTGCCCTGGTATAGTGTGAGGTGCCCTGGTATAGTGTGAGAGGTGCCCTGGTATAGTGTGAGGTGCTCTGGTATAGTGTGAGGTGCTCTGGTATAGTGTGAGGTGCTCTGGTATAGTGTGAGGTGCTCTGGTATAGTGTGAGGTGCTCTGGTATAGTGTGAGGTGCTCTGGTATAGTGTGAGGTGCTCTGGTATAGTGTGAGGTGCTCTGGTATAGTGTGAGGTGCTCTGGTATAGTGTGAGGTGCTCTGGTATAGTGTGAGGTGCTCTGGTATAGTGTGAGGTGCTCTGGTATAGTGTGAGGTGCTCTGGTATAGTGTGAGGTGCTCTGGTATAGTGTGAGGTGCTCTGGTATAGTGTGAGGTGCTCTGGTATAGTGTGAGGTGCCCTGGTATAGTGTGAGGTGCCCTGGTATAGTGTGAGGTGCTCTGGTATAGTGTGAGGTGCTCTGGTATAGTGTGAGGTGCTCTGGTATAGTGTGAGGTGCTCTGGTATAGTGTGAGGTGCTCTGGTATAGTGTGAGGTGCTCTGGTATAGTGTGAGGTGCTCTGGTATAGTGTGAGGTGCTCTGGTATAGTGTGAGGTGCTCTGGTATAGTGTGAGGTGCTCTGGTATAGTGTGAGGTGCTCTGGTATAGTGTGAGGTGCTCTGGTATAGTGTGAGGTGCTCTGGTATAGTGTGAGGTGCTCTGGTATAGTGTGAGGTGCTCTGGTATAGTGTGAGGTGCTCTGGTATAGTGTGAGGTGCTCTGGTATAGTGTGAGGTGCTCTGGTATAGTGTGAGGTGCTCTGGTATAGTGTGAGGTGCTCTGGTATAGTGTGAGGTGCTCTGGTATAGTGTGAGGTGCTCTGGTATAGTGTGAGGTGCTCTGGTATAGTGTGAGGTGCTCTGTAACAATAAGCGGAATATGACACTTTACACCATCTCAAAAACATTAAATACCGTAAAAAAAAACACTTGAGAAGGTTTAAGAAAAGCAGTTAGAGGATGCCTGAAAAATATTAACAAGACACAATAATGATCTTGGGTGTAGATACTGTGATCAAGAGAACACTAGACCCGTGTTGTGTGAACTGGTGGTGGAATGGTACAACCTCTTGTACCAGATGTACAGGACCGGGTGTACAGGGCCAGATGTACAGGACCAGGTGTACAGGGCCAGGTGTACAGGACCAGGTGTACAGGACCAGGTGTACAGGGCCAGGTGTACAGGGCCAGGTGTACAGGACCAGGTGTACAGGACCAGGTGTACAGGGCCAGGTGTACAGGGCCAGATGTACAGGACCAGGTGTACAGGGCCAGGTGTACAGGACCAGGTGTACAGGGCCAGGTGTACAGGACCAGGTGTACAGGACCAGGTGTACAGGGCCAGGTGTACAGGGCCAGGTGTACAGGACCAGGTGTACAGGGCCAGGTGTACAGGACCAGGTGTACAGGGCCAGGTGTACTTTGAGACGGGCAGGTGACAGTGGCCGGTATATTGCATATCAATTATACAGTAAGAGGTGCAGGAGAATGGAGTCATAAACACTGGCCACGTCAAAAGCCCGCCAACAATAACATGACCAGCTGGCGGAGACCACGTGGTCGATGGCTGGAAGTCAACATGTAAACATTATTGGTAGTACTGGTGAGAGAGAGCCTTGTAAGGTGAGGGTTACTGGAGGATGACTTACAGGATGAGGGTGACGGTGGTGGCAGCCAGGGCGCCCGTCACGAATGATGTACACATACGGATGTCGCACCGCATCCCTGTGGTGAGACGAGAATAATAATAATAATAATAATAATAGTGTCTTACATAGGGTAAGAAAGTGCGTAGCGTGATGATGGAGCGAGTTTACAGGGATGGAGCCTGTGCTCCCCAAGCCATCCCAGAACGCATGCTCAGCAACCTACTGGAAGCACGTGCCAGAGAAGCACCCTTCACGAGCTCTGATGGTCGCATGTATCAACAGGTAAATGGAGTCGTTATAGATCCCCCCCCCACCCCCTTGGTGTTCCATTTGCTAATTGTTGTACCATAGAACAGGTGCCAGTACCTGGTACTGAACACTTACTGCAGCACATGGGCTCATTCCTGCCAAGTGTCGTGCTAAATAACCCATAGTGAAGGTAAGATGCCTTCCCTACATGTGACAGTCTGGGAAAGGAATGGTGGCTTTCACACTCAGTATACCTTGAGTTGGTTTCGGGGCTTAGCGTCCCCGCGGCCCGGTCGTCAACCAGGGCTCCTCGTTGCTGGACTGGTCAACCAGGCTGTTGGACGCTGCTGTTCGCAGCTTGACGTATGAGTCAAAGCCTGGTTGATCAGGTATCCTTTGGAGGTGTTTATACAGTTCTCTCTTGAACACTGTGAGGGGTCGGCCAGTTATGTCCCTTATGTGTAGTGGAAGCGTGTTGAACAGTCTCGGGCCTCTGATGTTGATAGTTCTCTCTTGAACACTGTGAAGGGTCGGCCAGTTATGTCCCTTATGTGTAGTGGAAGCGTGTTGAACAGTCTCGGGCCTCTGATGTTGATAGTTCTCTCTTGAACACTGTGAGGGGTCGGCCAGTTATGTCCCTTATGTGTAGTGGAAGCGTGTTGAACAGTCTCGGGCCTCTGATGTTGATAGTTCTCTCTTGAACACTGTGAGGGGTCGGCCAGTTATGCCCCTTATGTGTAGTGGAAGAGTGTTGAACAGTCTCGGGCCTCTGATGTTGATAGTTCTCTCTTGAACACTGTGAGGGGTCGGCCAGTAATGTCCCTTATGTGTAGTGGAAGCGTGTTGAACAGTCTCGGGCCTCTGATGTTGATAGAGTTCTCTCTCAGAGTACCTGTTGCACCTCTGCTCTTCAACGGGGGTATTCTGCACATCCTGCCATGTCTTCTGGTCTCATGTGATGTTATTTCTGCAGTCTACACTAAGGAAACCAACACAGGCATGTGCCTTGATGCTAGTAGTGTATCAGGGCATATATATATGCCCTGATATATATAAGCAGTGTCGTCGACGGCAGGGGCCTGACAGCAGAGTGAACAGCGCTCGGGATTCGTAGTCCTAAGGTTCCGGGTTCCATCTCCGGGGGAGGCGGAAACAAATGGACACAGAGTTTCTTTCAACCTGATACCCTTTTTCACCTAACGGTAAATAGATACCTGGGAGTTAGACAGCTGCTACGGGCTGCTTCCTGGGGGGTGAGTAACAAAAAGGAGTCTTGGTCGGGGACCGGGCCGCGGGGACTCTAAGCCCCGAAATCATCTCAAGATAACCTGAAGAAGAATCCTATGTCACTCTTGCCCTCACACACTGCTCTAGTTGGAGGCTGGTTGACCAGGAACTGTGTAGAGTAATTATGGCAGGTCTTGGTCAATAGTGTGTTATACCACACTCCACCACTGTTGTGTACCACACTCAACCACTGTTGTGTACCACACCCCACCACTGTTGTGTACCACACTTAACCACTGTTGTGTACCACACTCCACCACTGTTGTGTACCACACTCCACCACTGTTGTGTACCACACTCCACCACTGTTGTGTACCACACTCCACCACTGTTGTGTACCACACTCAACCACTGTTGTGTACCACACTACACCACTGTTGTGTACCACACTACACCACTGTTGTGTACCACACTCCACCACTGTTGTACCACACTCTACCACTGTTGTACCACACTCCACCACTGTTGTGTACCACACTCCACCACTGTTGTGTACCACACTACACCACTGTTGTACCACACTCTACCACTGTTGTACCACACTCTACCACTGTTGTGTACCACACTCCACCACTGTTGTACCACACTCCACCACTGTTGTACCACACTCTACCACTGTTGTACCACACTCTACCACTGTTGTGTACCACACTCCACCACTGTTGTGTACCACACTACACCACTGTTGTACCACACTCTACCACTGTTGTACCACACTCTACCACTGTTGTGTACCACACTCCACCACTGTTGTACCACACTCCACCACTGTTGTGTACCACACTCAACCACTGTTGTGTACCACACTCCACCACTGTTGTACCACACTCCACCACTGTTGTACCACACTCTACCACTGTTGTACCACACTCTACCACTGTTGTGTACCACACTCCACCACTGTTGTACCACACTCTACCACTGTTGTGTACCACACTCCACCACTGTTGTACCACACTCCACCACTGTTGTACCACACTCTACCACTGTTGTACCACACTCTACCACTGTTGTACCACACTCCACCACTGTTGTACCACACTCTACCACTGTTGTGTACCATACTCCACCACTGTTGTACCACACTCTACCACTGTTGTGTACCACACTCCACCACTGTTGTACCACACTCCACCACTGTTGTACCACACTCTACCACTGTTGTGTACCACACTCCACCACTGTTGTAACACACTCCACCACTGTTGTGTACCACACTCTACCACTGTTGTACCACACTCCACCACTGTTGTACCACACTCCACCACTGTTGCTGTGCCACACTCTACCACTGTTGTACCACACTCTAGCACTGTTGTGTACCACACTCTACCACTGTTGTACCACACTCTACCACTGTTGTACCACACTCCACCACTGTTGTACCACACTCCACCACTGTTGCTGTGCCACACTACCATAGTCGTACCACACCAACATGGTTGTACCACACCAACATGATTGTACCAAATCACTGCCGTACCACACCATGATTGCACCACACACATCACGGTTGTACCAATTGCCATCACTATTACACCACTCTTGTCCCATACGGTACCGTTGTTGTACCATACATCACTTATTGTACCATACATAACTGTGTATATCTTTGTTGTACATACATCATCACTTCTTGTACTAAGCTAATAACACCAGTACACAGGTACTATTTGTACCAAAGTGGCTGTAGCCCCTCAGACACACACACACACTGTAGTAGACCAGGCTGGTGGAACTGTACCAAGATGGTTGTACCAGCGGAGAGAGTTACAGACAGCAGTAGACAGGAGCCACTGCAGTGCGTTGGTCAGCCCTCCCCACTACTCACTGTCCTCACTACTCTCTCCCTCTCTCCCTCACTCCCCAGGATCCATATAGCTATACTCATACTGTTCCACCCCCCTCCCTCACTCTCCATCTCTCCATCTCTATAAATCCACGCATTCGGGCCCTCACTCCCTCTCTCTTTCACCACTTCCTCCCTCCCTCTCTCCCTCTCTCTCACTCCCTCTCTTTCCTCTCTGCCTCTCTTGCTCCCTCTCTTTCACTCACTTCCATCCGAAGATGAACACATGGAACGGATTGGATATAGATGAACACGGTGAACAGACTGGACAAAGAGGAGAGGGAGACAAAGAACCTGTCCTCCACACACAGCGCCGCTCCTGTGCCAGGTAAGTCCACTACGGGCTCACCATAGCCCGTGCTACTTGCCCCGCTCCTGTGCCAGGTAAGTTACGGGCTCACCATAGCCCGTGCTACTTGCCCCGCTCCTGTGCCAGGTAAGTTACGGGCTCACCATAGCCCGTGCTACTTGCCCCGCTCCTGTGCCAGGTAAGCTACGGGCTCACCATAGCCCGTGCTACTTGCCCCGCTCCTGTGCCAGGTAAGCTACGGGCTCACCATAGCCCGTGCTACTTGCCCCGCTCCTGTGCCAGGTAAGTTACGGGCTCACCATAGCCCGTGCTACTTGCCCCGCTCCTGTGCCAGGTAAGTTACGGGCTCACCATAGCCCGTGCTACTTGCCCCGCTCCTGTGCCAGGTAAGTTACGGGCTCACCATAGCCCGTGCTACTTGCCCCGCTCCTGTGCCAGGTAAGTTACGGGCTCACCATAGCCCGTGCTACTTGCCCCGCTCCTGTGCCAGGTAAGTTACGGGCTCACCATAGCCCATGCTACTTGCCCCGCTCCTGTGCCAGGTAAGCTACGGGCTCACCATAGTCCGTGCTACTTGG